CTCTCTCTCTCTCTCCCTCTCTCTCTCCCTCTCTCTCTCTCTCTCCCCCCCTCTCTCTCTCTCACTCTCTCTCTCCGACGCTCAAAATTGATCACTCCTGTTACTGTTATAACCAAAGAAATCCACAAACCCATCCTTGACATGACAAGAGGTCACACTCGTTCACAAATTTAACTGTCAACATCACCATAAACACTGCACCTCTGATGCCATGACCTTGACATGACAAGAGGTCACACTCGTTCACAAATTTAACTGTCAACATCACCATAAACACTGCACCTCTGATGCCATGACCTTGACATGACAAGATGTCACGCTCGTTCACAAATTTAACTGTCAACATCACCAAACACACTACACCTCTGATTTCATGATCTTGACAGCCACAAAATGCAAGATTTTGCTTTGCAAGAAACACTGTGATATCCAGCAACCTTTGCAGGATATCCCTTCACTTTTTCTTCTCCTCGTCCATCCCAGAAACACTTTCAGCAACAATTAGAACTTTAGGCTTTTACTGGTTCTTAGAACTATAGCCTTTTATTGCTCTACAGAACTTTAGCAATGGTTGTTTAGTGGTGTATCAAAAGGAGTGGTAGAAGAAAACTCACCATAAAAAGTTCGAAGAAAAGGGACCCGAAGAAAAAAGGAGAATTCCTGAAAAGATACAAATAGTAAAGGTTAACAATGTCCTGACTAACATTGCATTATATACAGCTGACAAAAACATGTTCAATTATATCTCTGTAATTTCAGGTTATGACAAATCTACTTTACTAGCAATACAGATGCATGAAGATCATGGACCTGTCACAAGCATGAAGATCGTGGACCTGTCACAAGCATGAAGATCATGTACCTGTCACAAGCATGAAGATCATGGACCTGTCACAAGCATGAAGATCATGGACCTGTCACAAGCATGAAGATCATGGACCTGTCACAAGCATGAAGATCATGGACCTGTCACAAGCATGAAGATCATGGACCTGTCACAAAAATGGCAATGGACAATGCTATTTTAATAATGTTAAATGATAACAGAAATCATGTGTCAGGGTTTGACTTGTAGCACGTACATCGTCTTACATTCAAAATCAGTGTGAGATGTGAGGGCTAACATACAGGTGTGAGATGTGAGGGTTTAACATACAGGTGTGAGATGTGAGGGCTAACATACAGGTGTGAGATCTGAGGGCCAACATACAGGTAGCATTTTCTATTGCACTGTCGTCCATGTATGTTGTCTACGTAAGACGCACCCACAGCAGGACAGTTACTATAATGGCATAAAGTATAACCACCGTTAGTTTGATACATGTATCAGTCGACTGCTGTGTCTTTTAAAGAAAAATGCGCTTTGCAGAATGTCTAATAATTCAGTACAGCTGGTAATATTATCTCAACACATAAATATACAGCATAATACCCTAGGTTTCCCCCCAATTTTTTTTTTTGGAACTTATACAGAAAGCACAAAATATGATGTCCTAGATCTATCCCTAGCGATGAGGAGGAGCTATTCATGCACTGTTGTGGTATCCTACCCCCCCCCCCCTTTAAGTCAAATTCCTCTGCAGCAGTAGTCCCCAAATGGCGGTCCGTGGACCTTCACCGGTCCGCATGCCTAACGCTGCCGATCCCCATAACACAAATATTTATTGACAAATAGAAATAAAAAAATAAAATCATGCACCGGTCCCTGGTAAAATTTTGAAACTTGTTCACCGGTCCGCCAAACTTAAAAGTTTGGGAACCACTGCTCCACAGTATTGCACAGGGAACGTTCTATTTCTTCATAGCGTGACATACAATGCCACATATGATTGATAAAACAGTCATACACTATTGATAGACCAATGTAATTATGCGAGTCCTATAGTTTTTAAAGCATTTACTTATTATCCAACTAAGTTTCACTGCCCTAACCGACAGACAGATCCCCCTCTGCCTCTGCTCAACCCTTCCCTTTGCACAACATTTTACAAAAAAAAAAAAATGTTCGATTTTAATAAGTTTTCCGCGAGTAGGCTACGGTGCCTGCAGGTCGTCGTTGCTGTCTAGCATACCGAAGTACCTACATCTAAACTGACTTCAAATATCGTCCTGTTATTTGTTTGGCCACTATAACTATGACTATTGGTCTCTGCAATGATTTATACACCGGTACGGTATGCAACATTTTTTTTTAAAGGGAGGTAAATTTTAGAAAATATAAAATGAATACATTTTGTAGTACCCTCCCTTTATTTTCCAGGTTATAATTATCTCTATTTGACAAATAGCCATCGGTCTCAGTTATCAGTTACAGATTGATACTGATAACGTCAGTTAAATAGTTCTGAACACTATTCCATGGCCTATGCCTGCAATATTGATTTTAATTTTCTTGATTCATCTGTAATACTAAGTTAGTACTACTGACATAAGCATAATTTTAAGGGACCATTTTTATATCCATCTTCATTTTCAACTGTAGGCTGTAGTGCTGTAGACTGTAGACTGTAGTCGTCAATGTTGTTATAATTTGAATATGATTATTTAGAATATGAGTTAATAAAGTTAAGTTATAAACTATAATGTAAATTGGTAAAATTGTCAGCCCCACTATCTCGTCATGCCTATTTGTTCCAAATGGCAAGACTTATTCAAGACCAAGACGACTGGTAATAGTAATAGACCAGGATGTTGTTGATGAGCAGGAGTGTTCTTGTGTCTCACCGTGTGCTCTTTATGCTTTTACGTAAAATAGTCTAATAGTTAATAGTATATATATAAATAAGTATAGCATATAAAGTATAAATATTAATAGTTATAACAAGTTAACTTATAGTTAAAGTAAAGTTACACGACTTTAGTAAAGTTTGGTATGGTCCATTGTATAATTCTAGAAGTATTCAGGAGGGGTGTCATTTCAGGTTTTTTCAGACGGGGTGGGGGGGGGGGGCCCAAAACCAAAATTTGGTGGCTTGTCAAGTTGTTTATTACTGGAGGTGGCACATATACAGTTATATTAATTTAAATAAAGTTTATAAAGCCTGCAAATTCAAGTGGGGGGTGGGGGAATACCCTACCTAAATGAGTCCCTGGAAGTATTAGTAAGTAAGTTCCGTAAAGTAAATTACATACACAATTGACATTTCATTAATGTCATATTTAAGACTTATGATATTTGATGAGTTACTTCTGTTCTATAATTCATGACTTTTATTAAATACTGTAATTATGCTATAAAAACTTAATTAATTTGTCATAAATTAGTCTAATTCTTGATGAGGCCTAATCATCTCATGCAGTAATTGATTCAATTAAATAAGATTTGTCAATTGTTTTAAAGTTATATTCAATAGTTAACCCTTCTGGTACCGACCTACTTTTTGCTATGTATAGCCTCAGTACTGGTTATTATTTTGCTAATAATTCCCTGTGGCCCAGACATTATTTTGGAATGAGCCAAAATTTGATAGGTTTGCAAATTATTTTGTAATTTTTTTGTTTTAAACAATTGATGATAACATGTAGAGAATTATGTGTTCAGCAATGAATAAGGGTTTTAAAAATACTATATGTTTTGTTCAAACTTTTCATTGGCAATGTCACACTAGGTTATTGTGTGGCTAGCACAGTGTCCAGTCAATCTTAATAAATCGATATCTAGTCTAAAACCTGTCAAACCTACAGGCTCCCGTAGGCATCAATTTTTAGCCATAGTAGGCTTATTTCATTAAACAATTTCCTCTCCCTCATCAGCATCAGAATCATCTAATCCCAATTAAAGCTCACTAATAGTTTCAGAACAAAAGGTTTCATCAAATAGGCGTAAGTCGTCATCAACAATAGCGCTAGGTAGCGCCAGGCGCTAGGTAGCGCCAGGGAAACAACAAATACAGATCAGCACAAAAAATCCAGTAATTGGTTGATTTTCATAATTTAAAAACAAAATAAAATTCAACTTTTCCCCTAATGAATGAACATTTTTTCAGAGACTGCGGTGAAAGGTTATATCCTTGTTTCTGTATTGATATTTGATACCCCTCTATGTGGCAAATAGACGCGCTTGGGCCACAGGGAAAACAACCCGCTGGTGAAAAGATTCGCGCTTTGGTCACAATGAAAAAATAGGTCTCTGCAAAAAGACGCGCCTGGTACTGTAAGGGTAAAGCCATTGTTGCACTAAGGAGCCATCCATAAATGACATTGTGCTATTTTATTCAATTTTTTTTTTACCCCACTCCGCTACCATCACAAAATTTACCTGAATTCATTCAAACACATGGTCACAAATTTTAAACCTCCCCCCCTTAAAAATTATCTTGTTAACATAGACTTAGACAGTTGATTATTAATGAATAACTTGCCTTTTAATTTAGACTTTAAAAAGTTACTGTCTTAATAAACACAAAATCATTTCTTAGACCCAATTTGCATGGTGGGAACCATATCACGATCCACTAGAGTTCTAGTAGGACATGACCAAATCCCCTGTTAAACGTAATATTTAATATGTAACATACTATAAACTTTTATTATAAACTGGGAATGAGTGAATATCTCCATTACATTCAGCTGTGCTGAAACTTAAGAAGCGAATGATTGCATGTTGGGCACATGCACCACCTTCCTTTAATTAAGTCATTGGATTTGGCTGATATTTTGACAATACCATGATTTTGCTCAATTAGCTCTTTATGGCAACATTTATAAACTGTTGGCCTACTATATGTGGATAAAAATCTGGTGTTGCTGATTTGAAAAGTAACATAGCTATGTTTTTAAAAGTTGAACCTTTTCTGCATTAAAATAACACGTGTATGTAATGAAGCTATTATATTTTTATTAACTGTCAAATAAACCATGCTTCTAGTTAGCTTTAAGTGTATTTAGAGTTTTGGGTCTTGTTTTTTTTTCTTAGACCATGTCGGGACCGGTCTCAGATATGAGTAAATTTAGAGAGGTCTTCAGCAAGGCTAACCATATTGTAATCTTGACTGGAGCTGGAGTGAGCGCAGAGAGTGGTGTGCCAACTTTCAGAGGTGATGAGGGATTCTGGAGGAAATGGAAGATTGAAGTACATATTACACTAATCCATGTCTTGCATCACTCTTTTTTACAGCCTGATGTTCTAGGTTTTACTTATCCTTAGTTTACCCTTATTTTAATGCAGTTATTTGATATTTTAGTTTAGTTGACTGTGGGAATTGTTGTTATATTTATTGGATGTTCTTTGCAATGTTTCTGTATTCTTTATTATTTCTTCATAAGGCATAAAAAAAGTCAATGACAAAATCCATCATATCTTTAAAATGTGATTCATTTTACTATTAGTTTTAATAAAAACAACTAATTGTTAATAAAAATAAATTAAATTTTTTTTTTATCACAAAAGTCATAATGTTTGTTATTACTTTATATATTACTGACATTTGATCTAAACTATTTGTAATCAGTAAACTCATCATGTCTTATGATATTATACTAAACTCTCTAAACCTGAATTTAACCAAAACCAATGTTTTACTAAGCAAATATTCCTATCAATGGAATAATATATTTATTTTATAAATAAAAATAACTTTATTTATTAATAATCCTTATTTAATGGTCCATAATCTTTAGGACTTTGCCACTCCAGATGCATTTATATCCAATCCTTCTTTGGTTTGGGAGTTTTACAATCACGGAAGAGATGTAATGGCTAGCAAAATTCCGAACCCTGTAAGTTGTTTAACTTTTTCTAAAAGTAATGGACACATTTATTTTTCAAGTTTTATGCCTAAAATTCAATAGTAAATTTGAAATTACTGCATTGATAATTTAAGGCATTAAATTTTATTGTATAATGTGTTCATATCTCACATGCAAATTTTTAAATAGTTATATTTTATTTGAATGAAAATGTGGAGTCAATGCAATTTTATGTAAATTAAATTTAGAAAATAAAAGAAATTATGCATCCATCTTAACTGTGTTCTCTTTAATTGGCAATGATTTAAAAATCTGGTCCACTTGAATAATCCCATTTATCACTAGAAAACGTCTCTTTATCCCAGGCACACATTGCCATTGCCCAGTGTGAAAAGAGACTTAAGGGACAGGGGAGAAAAGTGGTGGTCATTACACAAAACATTGATGAGCTGCACCAAGCTGCTGGGTCAGAGGATATCTTAGAACTCCATGGTAATGGGGCAATCCAAAACTAATGCATGTATCATGTAGACATTTAAATACCTGATAAATAATTTTATGAACTCCCTAAAAACTAATAAAAGTGCAAATAAATAAGGAGGTTTGTCTTCAAAAATAAAAATATATTTTCGCTCTGTAACCTAGTTTAATAGCAAATCCATAGGCAGAAATAAGTAAAAAGGTAATAATCAAACATATGCAGTAAATTTTAACGCCCAGTTGGAAAAATTAACATCTATTTTATCTTAGGAAATATATTCACAACTTGTTGTACAAAATGTGGTGATGTACGAAAAAACAAAGACAGTCCAATCTGTCCAGCATTAGCTGGAAAAGGGTAGGTTGATTTTGTAGCATAAAGTTAAGATACATTTTGTTTACTTCCAGTATCTTTATAGTATTGGGGTATTGTGTCAACTGTAACGGCTGATATTTCATGAATTTATTAAAGCTTCCTTACAAATTGAAGATGAAGTAATTTTTTTTACTTTCAACCATTGCAGTTATTTTTAAACTGTTAAACATTGGAGTTTAATTTAAAAGTATTATCTATCCCCTGTAGCTTAGAAGAAATAAAATTATTTTTTGGTGTGATAAAACTTCCTCTCTTTCCTGCAGTGAACCTAATCCAGATGCCCAAGACGCCAAAATACCAGTGGATCAGCTTCCTACTTGCAAGAAAGGAAATTGCAGAGGGCTGTTGAGACCACATGTTGTTTGGTTTGGTGAAGGCCTTGATCCTAAAGTAATTAGACGAGCTGTACATGAGTTGTCTCTGTGTGACCTATGTATTGTGGTGAGTTCCTTTGTAAATACTTCTCATGATCAATTACAGAACATATTCTTCCTATTGAAGGCCTCTCCTAATTATAAGTGGCGCTATTTTTATATGAAAAAAAGTTTGAACTTCCTTTGCAGTATCCTGATTTAGAGGAAAAGAGCGTGGCCTACTCTCGGAACATGTTAATATTTAAAATATATCATTGGGGCTACTGATGAGGTCAACACTATATTTTTTTGTAATTTAAAACAACATAACTTCATATTTATAAAACTAATTGCCAAATCACCTCGATTTTAGAGTAGATGGGAAAATAAAATTAAATTAGCTTGTCAACATAAAATATGTAATATCACATATATTGAAATATTAATTAGTTGGCAGTCATGTGAAATCATTTGGTAAAGAAATTTCACACCTTTTAAAATATCAGAATAGTATTTATACATCCAACTCATAAGTATTAATTTTGAAAATTATTCTCACATACCTCCAGAAATCAATGATAGACCTTTATACCTACTGTTAAAATGTTAAAACATTTTATTACACATTTCCATCTAGAAATGATTCATTATTTTCCTTACAACTTCAAATTGATTACAAATTACAATTTCAAATTGATATATAACATCATGAACTTTGGACATGGATTCTAAAAGTGATTGAATTTTTCGTAAGGTCACTAGACAACTAGAAATGGTACGTTACCGGAAATTTGATCAAAAGAAATTTCGTCGACGGTAAATTGATCGAACGGAAATTTGTTCTAATCTTTTTTTTCAGTTCACACGTTAAAATTTTCGTCAAATTTCTTTTTGAATGCACTTATAATAAAAAAAAAAAATGCGTTCAAAAAGAAATATGAAGCAAAACTGAAAAAAAAATTCTACCGAATTTCTGTTCGATCAAATTACCGTGGATCAATTTACAGTCTACGAAATTTCTTTCAATCAAATTTCCGGATATGCTAGAAATGTCATTTTTTTAAAAAATGAAAAATTCAAGAAGTGTGAAGAGTCAAACAATTTCACTGTGAAACCATTAACAGACCTGTTAACCGTAAAACTCTTAAAATCTTACAATATCATCACAAAATCGTTCAATGCATTATCTTAATAGTAAAAAAAATTAACATACAGCATACATAATATATACACCTCAAAATCGTACATTGTATGCCAAAATCATAAGAGTAAACAGGTCTGCATTTAATTTTGTAATATATATTACCCGTCAGTGTTTAGTTATAAACTTCTTCTTCTTCTTAACTTCTTATATTTGAGGGGCCCACAATCAATTTGTTGAACTTAAATATGTATGTAAACAAACATATATACAGTACAATATATAACAGGTTGGGACATCATCTGTAGTTTACCCTGCTGCTATGTTTGCTCCTCAAGTTGCTGCCAGGGGGGTGCCAGTTGCAGAATTCAACATTGAAGAAACATCAGCTACAAACTCATTTGGGTGAGATCATACTTATAGCAATATTTAACACTTGACCAAATAATGTCACACAAAATTTTAAAGTAAAGCATAAGGTGTGTGTGATATTTCTTACTTTTAAACAAATGTTGATTTTTAAAAAAAAATGTTTGGTATGTATATAGAATTGCGCTCAATATTGCAGTGTTGGATACAAGGAATTATTGGGATTGAAGAATTATTTTTGTGTCACACAGATTTATATTCAAAGGCCCCGCAGGACAGAATCTACCCACAGCATTGGCTCCACATGAGAATGAAGAGAAATAATGTGCTATTGTATAATGGGAGCTTTTGTTGAGAATTGCCAAGAAAAGGACAAGCCATCTAATTTATATAATTCATTCATTTTTTACTCAGAAATAAAGATAGATAAGTATTAATTTAAAATCTGGATTGATTTTATAGTAAATTTAAATTGCTTTTATTTTTATTTTCTAAATGATATTTGAGACTGAACTTGGAGAAATAAATAAGAAATTACAAATTCAGTAATTTGTCTAGCAAGCAATATTTTAGTTAGCCTGTATGAACTTTTTATTGTTATGTAGACCTATACATGAATCAATTTAAAAGTTTTCTCCCACATTTTGACTAGCAAAAGCTTCAAAATAATGCTGACCACAGTATCAATTGACCTAGTGGTTTCAAACTAATGTAAAGGATCTCACAAATTAATCATATGCCTAAAATTCAAATTAACATTAGCGATTCTAGATTGATCTTGAGGTTTGGGATAGGGACAAACACTGCCACAATGGGCCTCTAGCAACAATGCATAAAAAAAGAAAAAAAGTAACACATTCACCCTTTTATTAATATATTATTTTATTATTATTTAATCTAGTCACAATAGATTAGTAACCAGACTAAATGACCTGCATGATAATTTGTAAATCAATTCTTTTTTCTCACACTAAGAAGTAGAAGCTTGATTAAATATTGACTTGATCACCATAATTACAAGTTGAGAAACCATTTTTAACAAAAATTTTCGAGTGGCAATCAAAACCACAATATTCACATTGTGGTAGTGACATCACTAAATTCTAACTAAATAAGCTGATACTCTTAGTCTAATGGTTATATGAATTTTGTGGCATTGATTTATACTCATCTAATTTCCAGATCAGTTCCACTTAAAATCCAAAATCAAGTTTTCTTTAGTCGACTTTGATTTCAAGAGCAGTAACTTAAATCATATTTGGTTATTTAATGCTATGTAGTAGCATTTTAGTAGCTTCTCTGGGTTATTGATTTTAAATTTTGATATAAATATAAATTTATAAAAAATATGTTAATTGAAATGTTTAATTTTAGACATATAGGAATTATTGAAATACTTAAAAGCACACACTGTAAATGAAACATCTTTCCTCTTCAATGTTGTGTTTTTTAAATAATAAATTGTTTTGTCAACTACTGATAATACAAAAGTCTTAAATAATTGTGTCAGCTATCAGACTTTTAAGATTTCATTGACATCCTTGCCAGTAGTAAAAAAACAACTGTAAACCTAATCACTTGGATATATAGCTTCTCTTGTTGACACCTCCATCTAGCTGTGGGCATCATGCTGGCTGTGGGCATCATGCTGGCTGTGGGCATCATCCTGGCTGTGGGCATCATCCTGGCTGCGGGCATCATGCTTGGACCAATGAACACCAGCTGTGGGAAAAAATGCTGGCTGTGGGCATTATGCTGGCTGCATCCTTGGACCACTAAACACCAGCTGTGGGCATCATGCTGGCTGCATCCTTGGACCACTAAACACCAGCTGTGGGCATCATGCTGGCTGCATCCTTGGAACACTGAATGCTGGCTGCATCCTGGGACCAATGATGGCTGGCTGCATCCTTGGACCACTGAATGCTGGCTGCATCCTTGAACCACTGAATGCTGGCTGCATCCTTGGATCACTGACTGCTGGCTGCATCCTTGAATCACTGACTGCTGGCTGCATCCTTGGACCACTGAATGCTGACTGCATCCTTGATGGCTGCATCCTTGGACCACTGAATGCTGGCTGCATCCTTGAACCACTGAATGCTGGCTGCATCCTTGGATCACTGACTGCTGGCTGCATCCTTGAACCACTGACTGCTGGCTGCATCCTTGGACCACTGAATGCTGACTGCATCCTTGGACCACTGAATGCTGGCTGCACCCTGGGACCACTGAATGCTGGCTGCATCCTTGGACCACTGAATGCTGGCTGCATCCTTGGACCACTGAATGCTGGCTTCATCCTTAGATCACTGAATGCTGGCTGCATCTTTGGACCACTGAATGCTGGCTGCATCTTTGGACCACTGAATGCTGGCTGTATCCTTGGACCACTGAAGTTAGGCTGCATCCTTGGACCACTGAATGCTGGCTTCATCCTTAGATCACTGAATGCTGGCTGCATCCTTAGACCACTGAATGCTGGCTGCATCTTTGGACCACTGAATGCTGCATGCATCCTTGGACCACTGAATGTAGGCTGCATCCTTGGACCACTAAACACCAGCTGTGGGTGTCATGCTAGTTGCACCCTTGAACCAGTGAATGCCAGCCGCACCCTTGGACCATTGAATGCTAACCACATCCTTGGACCAGTGAATGGTAGCCACACTCTTGGACCATTCAACACCAGCTGTGGGTGTCATGCTAGCCGCACCCTTGGACCACTCAACTCCACTTTCACTCATGTGTGTCCTACTTAGCTCTCCCTGGGGGCAATGGCTAAGCAAGGTTTAATGCTGCAAGGGATGGACCAAGATCCCTCCCACCTCTCATGAAAATAACCTCCTAGGTTGACCGAAAATGCTTCCACTCAATATAAAGAAAAAAACACCCCCACCCTCCTATGACAACGCCGAGGAAGATCCAGAATAAAATTTCAAGGGGAGGGTGGAATCAACATATTCTGATCATTATTAGTGGCACATTTGTACACAATGGAATCCCTTCCATTTCCATACTAATCACATGGAATCCATATGAAAATATACATGAGCATTAATCAAAACAAAAAGATGTGTTACTTTATTTCACATACAATATTAGTATTGATTGTTCTGAATATTTTTCAGAATTTATACAGTTATTCTGGCTACCACGCTTAAATGCTTAAAAAATACTTTATTAAAAACTTTATTCCAACTAGAACTTCACAAAAACTTCTTTAGCTCATACGCAAGACATAATTTGATTATATCATAGATGAGTAGAAGGTACGTGGTGATGTCCTCTTGGATCACTGAATGACCCGAAGTCAAAAAGTTCTTTATTGGTTTTTTTTTTATCAGGGGGAGCAACCTTGGTTAAGTCAATAACATATTTATTTTTAGTTCGCCCCCTTTAAAAAAATAAAACTTCTTGAACTTTAATGTTATCGAAATCATTGTTATGATCTTATTCTCTATTATGGTGTGCGTAAGATATGTATGTTTCACTTTCGTATTTATAATTATTCTATTCAAATTTGAAAAGTTCTTACAATATGGTATACCGCCTTGAATTCACCTGGTCTAATTCTATTTCTTTTCTTCTAGTTCTAGTCCTAGTCCTATTACCCCTGGCCCTAGTAGTAGTAGTGAAAGTCCTAGTGCCTAGTACTCCTACTCCTAGCCTAGGCCTAGTCATCTCAATATTTAAATTAATAATATTATTCATAAAAGTGAACGTTTGTGGCTTTGTTACATGGATTGATGGATCTTGACCAAACTTGGCATATATATGTCCATCGGTATCCAGAAGGAACTCCTAAGGCTTAAGACTTAAAGGGGTTATGAACTTTTCATAACATTCCCGCGGGGCGGGGCGGGTCGGGGGAGGGGGGCAAAATGTCGTTTTTTCCTATATGAGCTATATAAATAAAATTACTAAAAAATACTCCTACATGAATGGATGGATCTTGACCAAACTTAGTAGAACTACAAATACACTTTATTATCCATATTCAAATACTGGAGGGTACTGAACTCATTATATCCACTCCTCTGGGGCCCCATTTCATTTTTCCTTATATAAGCTATATAAATATAATTATGCTTAGACAACACAATAGTTTCTATGTGAGTTGATGGATATAGGCCTAGTTTTATAGCAATACACTTCACTGTCCGTATTGAAATATCTGTGGATTTAAAACGATTTAATATCCAATGCATTCAGGGCCGATCTAAAATTTTATAGAAAGTTCCATTATTTAAAAAAAGCTACAACTATGGTATTTTTAAACCGATTTTAATGAGACAAATTTTAAATTTCAACTCTATAATTTATCTGAATGATTTTTATAGGGCCCCCACCCCATCTCAGACATAACTTAACTGGTACTTTATTAAAAGGGCCTCCACCCGGGCCCCCATTTCATTTTAAATGTAGGCCTACTATAGTTATAGTAGTCCAATTAAGATAAATAATGGGCTGGTCCACTGTTCCAGTATAAAACAGAAACTCGTCCCTCTCCCCCATAGACAGCGACTAGGCCATGACAGGCAATTCAGGCTCATACCAGCAAGAAACCAGTATAGGAGCTGCTCATTCCTGCCCAAGACAATCAGGGAGTGGAACAAGCTTTCAAAAGGAACAGTTGAGGTGACAACGCTAGACTCATTTGTGTCTATTGTCTCAAGCCTTCAAACCCCCAGTGGATGATTCCCTCACAAAGTGGCACTGGAAATCATTGAAATGTCCTCATCAACACCAGGCAGAGAAACATTGCAAATCCCCTCTATGTGCATAGGAGCCAAAATGATCAATAAATTGATTGTGGGCCCTTAATATTTAGAAGAAGAAGAGTTATATAATATTTCGCATTTGAGAAAAAATTATGTAGTAGAAAATTAATTTTTTACCCGTTTCATGGAGGATATTAATTTTAATCTAGAATGTTCCAGAAGGTTCTATATTGTTCTACGGGGATATATAATGAGATCTAAAATCTTATTTGAACAAAATCGCACAACAATTCAAAATTGATTTTTATGTTTCTATGTCAAATTAATCAAGTACGGCAGTACGGCCAGTACGGTACAACTCAAAGTGTGGGAAAAAAAAGTTAAATTTTACCCTCCCGTAGCCTATCCTATTATTTTCTATACCTATACTATCCTGTCTTAAGACTCAGGATACTGTGACTCGTAGTTACAGAGTCATAGTGTAATTTGTATAATTTGAAATGAGTGTTAAATATCAGGTAAGTCTATAATATAGGGCATCACTCCCTCCCCCCCCCCCCCCCCCGGCCAAAAAAAACATCCAGACCTGATTAGTGTGGGAAGGGGGAGTGGTGATAAGCTGTGTTCAAGCCCAAATTAGTATCAGTGGTTACACAGTTTTTGCTATTATGTGATGGCAGGAGCTTGGAAAAAGCTTCACTATCTATTTCTTTCTCAGTTCCTGGCTTGTCACAAAGAATTACTCTAAACCAATCACCGTTTCAATATACCTACAAGTTATTATATAATTTATAATTATTGCCATTTTTATGAAGAAGGTTATCAAAGGGGCCATCAATAAATGATATGATGCTATTTTGGTAGATTTTGAAACTCCCTCCTCCATTGTCACAAATTGATCCAATTTTTACATTTGGTTTAGAGACACAACTATAATACATTGTCATGAATTTGTGACACCCCCCCCCCCCCCAACCTCTTATGTGCCACAGCATTTATGTATGGCCCCTTCTTACATTAGATGATTGGAACTATATTAAATAATTAATAATTTAGTGGGAATCAGCCCTTTGAATAATAATGATATTTTTAGATTCAACATGTTTATGTTCACAATCATTCAAATTTGCAGTTTTTTAGTGTTTAATAAAGTGCTTTTTTCATTAACACAATTAGTTACCATTAAAGATTAAAAATTCTTTCATTTGAATGAAATTATTTGGTAAACATTTTTCATAAAATTATGCTGATGGTTTTCTTGTTTTGAGTCTTACATTATAAGTATACACTTTTGAATTTTACATTTAGTAATGAATTAATATTTGTGTCATGCCCATTATTTGTCACTATAATCACTGAAGGAGTTGAATCTGACATCGTCCATTATGTGACATGTTTGCTTGTGCCTAAAATAAACTAGGCATTCATTCAGTCCCTTGCAGTTGTTTAAATAAAGATTTGCAAGCTCATCCTCTATTCTTATGCAAACCTTTATATACAGTAAGTGTCCTTACTCCTGGATCGGGAAATACACTTTGGCTGTTTGTCCCGTCAGCAGTCCAGTTTTATTGAACAAGCTTAACACAATTCTGCAGGTAAATTAACTTAGGTAATCAGCCAACCTTTTGAAAATCCAATGAGCTTTTTAAGAACTTTATTATAATTAATAGGCCTAATATATAGCCTTTATTGAAATTATGTGTTTCAAACACCCAGTTGGTATATATAATAACTGACAAAAAAAAAGTTACCTATGAACTCATAATAAAAAATAATGGCTGTCTATTGGCTAAAATTTCAAATCATTATTTGTATCTTTTATCTGCCACCAAATTTTGATATTTTGAAAGCATTTGAGATTTAAGTTGAGAATCCTTGTGGTTTACAATTAAAACATTGATATTTACTTATTAAATTTGTCTTTGATTTTAAATTTGTGTCTTTGTTTTAGACCATGGCAAGACCAGTCTCAGATATGAGTAAATTTAGAGAGGTCTTCAGCAAGGCTAACCATATTGTTGTCTTGACTGGAGCTGGAGTTAGTGCTGAGAGTGGTGTGCCAACTTTCAGAGGTGCTGGGGGATTCTGGAGGAAATGGCAGGCTCAGGTACGATATATTAGTCTACACCAGCGGTTCTCAACCTGTGGGTCGTGATCCCTTTGGGGGTCGCACGACTCTTTCACAGGGGTCGCGTAAGACCACCTGAAGACACATATACTCCACAGTTATAAAGTATTTAACGAAAATAATTTTGTGATTGGGGGTCGCCACAACATGAGGAAATGTATTAAAGGGTCGCGGCATTAAAAAGGTTGAGAACCACTGGTCTACACTATACATTTTTAAAAGTGATTATATAAAAAATATGTAACATTTCAATTAAGAGTTTTAAAAATAAATACCGGTAATAAATATTTTTAAAAATTGAGGGCAAAGTGTTCTCCTCCTTATATTTTAACTGGAAGTTTTTAGTATCAAAATAAAAAAAATACTATTATTAAAAAGTATGCCTTATAACAGAGGAATGAAGAGGGTGCACCACCCAGATGAAATACGGCTCCAAGCATGGAAAAGAAAAGCATCAGTTAGGTCTAAGTGGAAGGATGTGATGAGGCAGGCCAAAGCCCTACATGGGCTGTACTACCCACAAGATGGATGAATGCCTTCATGAATTTAAATCCAGAAAAGTCACAATTTATACTTAGTATGTTGTATTCTTCTTTTTGGCTGCAATCTCACCTACATGGCCTATGAATATTGAAGAAGTCAATTATTATCTTTATTATTTTACAAGTAAAATCATCCTCAGGATCTTGCAACTCCAGAAGCATTTCGATCCAATCCATCTTTGGTTTGGGAGTTTTATCACTACAGAAGAGAAGTTATGGCAAGCAAAAGTCCTAACCCTGTAAGTTTTAATAAAAATAAATTAAAATCAGTTTCTAGCTTAAGTGATGATATTTATTTAATCTTATAGTGTTCTAGTTTTGTTCACATCTAGTATGTATTTTTAACAATGGGAATTATTAAAATCTACTGATGCGCCCTTTTGATGTAAACAACTGCCTGTTAATTAAATTTCCTAATAAAGAAATTAGCAGTGATGTTAGAAGGGAAGGCAGAGGGGGCGGCACTTTTTAAAAATTTACATTGAAGGGGGGATTTTGGCCAAGAGCAGAGTTTTTTTGTGGAAGTGGGTAGGTAAATCTTGGCCCTGTTTATCCAAATTATTAAAGGGGTCAAAGTGATGGAGTCAATGTATTTGTTTAATCAACGGAATAGATTTCTCAATAAATATTGGCACCATGTTTAAGACAGAATTAGTTTTTTATTGCAACAACAGACTTATGTTTGCTAATAAGAAAACTTACTTAATTAATGATATCAACACTGATTACTTAATTTTTACAAGTTTTTATTCTTGCTACTTTTATATTTGTTCCTTGTTTATTTGTGTTGCCCCTCAATTTTATTAGTGTTCACTTTCATTAAATAATAATGATTAGAACTTAAAGATCAAAAGAATTTCATTTAACATACAAAAAAAATGTGTGTTCCCAGGCACACATTGCCATTGCCCAGTGTGAAAAGAGACTAAAGGAGCAGGGGAGAAAAGTGGTGGTCATCACACAAAACATTGATGAGCTGCACAAAGCTGCTGGGTCAGAGGATATTTTAGAACTTCATGGTTAGTTTACCTAAAGCCCATAAGATTAGTCTACCCTTAGGCACACTAAGTCAATATCTCTTCAATATTTATTTAGTGCTCAGCCAAAAAAACAAAACAAAAAAAACTGGGTTACTGAGTCAGCCTACATGTGTTGAATGGCAATGGCAAAGTTTGAACTGCAGTAATGCTTAAATATGTCTTTCAAATACAAAAATTAAGGACTGAAAACCTGCCAAATAAATCTATTTAGCAAAAAATAAAAATACATTAAAAAAATAAAAAAGGAATCGTCAAATACTAGGGCAATGTGGTCTGAATAAAAAGCTCTCTTGATCTATTCTGAATAAATGTTAAAGAATAAATTGGGCAAAATGTTAGTCATACAACAAGTTTGAAGTGTAAATTAGAAAGCTTTGTTGAGACACAAACACTTAAAATTAAAATAATTAATATTTGTTTAATCAACTGTTGAGTGCACTTAGATTTTTTTATCCCCAGGAAACTTATTCACAACTCGTTGCACAAAATGTGGTGATGTACGAAAAAACAAAGACAGTCCAATATGTCCAGCATTAGCTGGAAAAGGGTAGGTTGATTTTGCAGGCTAACATTTTAAACATTTATTCCCTATGTTGCCTGCATTAATAGCCTAAACATCTGGAGTTGATTTTTTATATATTTAAAAAAAAACAATTAAAAAAAAAAAACAATTAGGAAATGTATAATTCAAAAGAATTTTGATAGCCTGTTCATCATCATGTCCCTTAGTCCTTGGACCGTTGGGGCGCCACAGATGACATTTGAACTATCCTCCTCCATTCGTCTCTGTCTTCTGCACTACGCACAGCATCGCCCAGTGTTAGTCCTGTCCACTCTTTGATGTTATCCTCCCATCTTTTTCTTTGTCTTCCTCTTCTTCTCCCTCCTCTTGTGGTGCCGTGCAATATTTCCTTGGCAAGCCCTTGTTTCCTTGTTACGTGGTCGTACCATTGTAGTTTGCATTTTTTCACAGTCACCAGTAGGTCATCGTACTCCCCAATTGCCTGGCGAACCCTTTCTTTCACTGTATAATTGGAGATATGGTCCTTATAGCAATGCCAAAAATGCTTCTGAAGCATCTCATCTCCATCGCCTTTTCCTTTCAAGATCAGCTGTTAATGTCCAGGATTTGCAGGCATACAGGAAAATGGAGAGGACTAATGAGTGCATCAGCTGGGGGCTATATTTTTGTCATTCCATATTTTCTTGAGCCTCTTTAGTCCTGTTGTAGCCTGTTAAAAAGGTACAAAGCAGGGTTACCCAACCTGTGGTGTAAGGAAAGGTGATTAAGAAAAGAATAGCCATTGTTTTTTTAAGTTATGATATAAATATTTATAAATTTATGTACCAGTGTTTAAAAGAAAAATTTCCATGAACATTTTTCTTTATGAAATAATTTACAACTTTATTTTCTATGTTCATTAGTATTTCAGTTATTCAACAAACAAATTAATAGTCCATTTTCCATTTTCAAAATGTCTCGTGCATAAATAGAGGAAAGTCCACCAGATATGGTGGGTACAGGGTAAATAAAATACCCGGGATGGACCAAAATCAGAACCTACTGCCTTGTAGGAGGCGGGGAATCCACAGAGGCTAGGGAACCTTACCCAAATATTAATGCAGCTGTAAGGGGCAGCCCCGACAGTTGTGCACAGGGCTAACAACTCGGCCATGTAAATAAATAAATGTTATTAAAGCCAAACAACAATATAAAACGTGAACTGATTCTAATTGAAATCGACCTATGCCTGAATTTGGACATGATTTTTGGATTGTGACTTGGAACTTGGGTGTTTAGAGTAGGAGCCTTAGCCAACCTAATAGATCAACTACTTAATTATAAAATCTCTATTGCTGCAATGGAAGAAATTCGGAGGAAAAATGCAGACATTCTCAAGACAAAAGACTACACCATATTTTATAGTGGAAGCAACACTAACACTCTTGGAACAGGATTTGCTGTGAAAGAAAGAAGCTGTTCATGCAGTAATTATTTTTAAGACCAGAGGATGGAAGATTGTACTCTTTGCGTGTGCAAGGAAAAATGTTTAATATAACATTTATAAATGTTCATGCCCCCTTCAAGATATAGGTCAGATAAAAGAATCCTTATATGAGACACTGGAAAAGATCTACGAAGAGACACCATAACATGATATTGAAATAGTGATTGGAAACTTTAATTCCAAAATAGTGAAGAAAAGGTATTCATGCCAACTATTGGCAAGGAATGTCTGCATGAAGAATCCAATGACAATGGGATCCAACTCATAGACTTTGCTTCAGGTTAAGGGATGCCAGTTAGGAGCACCAATTTTCCACACAAAAATATACATAAAATTACTTGGAACTCACCGGATGGAATCACTTACAACCTAATTGGCCATGTTCTAATCTATTGGATACACGGATCAGACATGCTAGATGCAAGAAGCTTAGATGCAAGAAGCTATCGAGGAGCAGATGCAGACTCTGACTATCTACTTGTAAGGGTTAAATATGGGCAGAGAATAAGCATAATTTACAATGGTTGAAATCAAAGAGAAAAGCGATATGATTACCAAAAACTTACCAAAGACCCACTAACCACTAAAACTTACCAGAATGAAGTAGAAGGACAACTAGAAGCAGAACAGGAGGAAATTAACAGGGAAAAAAACATAAATAAACAGTGGGATAGGATAAAAAATGGTATGAAAAGATCAGCAGAAAATGTAGTAGGATTTCAGCAAACTAGCATTAGAGTAGGTTGGTTTGATAATGAATGCAGAGAGACCGTGGAAGAAAAGAAAAAAGCACGCATGACCATGATATAAATTGAAACTAGAAAAACAAGACAAATATACAATGAAGCTAGAAGGAAAGCCACAAAAATGTGTAGGAAGAAAAAAGGGGATGGTAAAAAGCTAACCTAAAAGAAATAGAAGACTTATCAAGAGAAGGAAATCTCAGAAGTATGTACATGAAGAAAATAGACAAAAGGAATGGATACCAAGCCTGACTTCAAATGTGTGAGAGCCATGATGGAGAAATCATTACAGCAAATAGTTAAGTACTGGAGAGGTGGGCTGAATATTTTTAGGGCATGCCAAATGCAGACAATAGACAAAAATGAAGATTACCAACCACCAAATGGAGGACAAGACCCTGTAATAAACTTCCCAACTTTAGAACAAACTACAGAAGTGATCAGTTCCAGGAAAAACCAGAAAACCCCTGGGGAAGACTTCCTCACAGCAGAACTTAGTAAATATAGAGGAAGAGAACTACACACTCAGACACATACATTTATAACTAAAATGTATTTTTAATTTTATAGACTAAGTTAAATGAGTTGGAGGGGATACAAGATTAGCTCAACAATTCAAAGAGTGTACAGCAAGGTTTGGGAAACCCTTTTAATATGGGTAAGATTAAGCTTTTTTAAAAAAGGCTTCTCATTCTCAAATCTGCATTTTTAAGCTGAGTGCAACCAAGATTTTTTTTTTGGGTTTGAAGGCAAAAACTAGATTGAGGTTTCCCCAGCTGCTTTTTGGTGAGAGTAAGACTTCAACTACAGGTACATTGAAAAGCACACACAAATTTTATATTGAAAGCACTCTCTAATTAATGATCCTCTTCAGTTATAATGGAAAATGCTATGAATAATGTATAAGTTACTGACTTGAATTTCATAAACTTACACTATTCTTATGTTTTTTTTTGCCAGGATGATGTTTTTATCCAGGAAGCAACTGAAATACCCTATCATTGGTGTTAAAGAATATGGAGTAAAATTTTTATGAAGTTTAAATGGTTTCCTCTTTCCTGCAGTGAACCCAATCCAGATGTCCAAGAGGCCAAAATTCCAGTGGATCAGCTTCCTACTTGTAAACAGGGAAGTTGCAGAGGTCTGCTAAGGCCACACGTTGTTTGGTTTGGAGAAGGCCTCGACCCTGAAGTTCTCAGTCGAGCTCATCATGAGTTGTCCCTTTGTGACCTATGCCTTGTAGTATGTTTTTTGTATTTAATTTCACATGCACATAGATAAAATGTGTTTAAATATGTCTACACTTTTTTGGCAAAATTTTTTTTCTCCATCTTTTGTGCTTTAATTGTACAGGGCATCAAAGAGATTCATCTTTTCCTCAATTGTTAATTGAACCTACAATTATGTACTATAGCAAAAACATAATAAAATATTTATAACACTGTAATTAACAGGTTGGGACATCATCTGTAGTTTACCCTGCTGCTATGTTTGCTCCTCAAGTTGCTGCCAGGGGTGTGCCAGTTGCAGAATTCAACATTGAAGAAACACCAGCTACAAACTCATTTGGGTGAGATCATATTTTATCACTATTGTAAAAGTTACAAGTTTTTATTAAAACGCACTAAAATATAAAATATCATTTAACTATATGCCCATGAAAAGTTTTAGGTGACCTTAGAGAAGTAGGTCACATGTCCTTCTAAGGTAGAAAATAATAAAATACATTTTTAAAAAATATTTGAGCATTTAATCACAATACAAATGATGCTTTTAACTTTATTCATTTCCATAATAAATTTAATACCATTATCTGCGGAAACTGTATCTTTTAAGAGTAGGATTATTGTTGGGGGGACAATCTACCACCTTCACTGCTCAATTCTTTTTTATTGCAATGGATGGGATTTTGTGGTGGTACCAGTTTTAAATTTCTGGTTCATAGTTACTGAGCTTCATAGTTACTGAGCAAAACTCTTAAAGTAAAATAACTGCATTCATTTAGAGTGCATTGAGACATTTTATTGGTTAGCAGGAAGTTGAACCGCCTACCACTGAGGCAAAATTGGAAATGCAACAAAGAACTTCTCAATTACCTTCCAAAATACAGAATAACAATAGAACATTTTCTTTCATGGCCAAACTCTTGGTACCTTCTATTATTTATTTCCTGTATATATATATATATATATATATATATATATATATATATATATATATATATATATATTTATATATACAAATATATATATATATATATATATACACATATTTACACTCACACTCTTAAAATCTTACAATATAATAACAAAAAATACAGAATAACAATAGAACATTTTCTTTCATGGACAAACACTTGGTACCTTATATTATTTATTTCTTGTATATATATATATATATATATATATATATATATATATATATATATATATATATTAATACATACAAATATTTATATATATATATATACAGACCTGTTTACCCTCATACTCTTAAAATCGTACAATATCATCACAAAATCGTTAAATACATTATCTTAATAGTAAAAAAATTAACATACAGTATATATAATGTATACACCTCAAAATCGTACATTGTACGCCAAAATCGTAAGAGTAAACAGGTCTGTATATATATGTTCATAAATTTTTTCTGGTAGTTTTGTATTTTAAATGTTAATTTAAATTAATTAATGTATCAATACCAGTACCAGTTATGGCTACGTATAGCTATAGCCGATTATCAAAAAAGTTGTATTTAGTAAAAAACATAATTTATATTGTTCAAGGAGAATTTAGTGGCTTCAGTATTATGTTTTTTCCTCCAGATTTATGTTCAAAGGCCCAGCTGGACAGAATCTCCCTGCCGCATTGGCTCCAGATGAAAAAAAATGATTTGAAAGCAAAGTTGTGACATTTTCCAATTGACTCAAGACTGAAATAAGAATGTAGATATTACTTCATTTTAATCCCCTTTTTAATATTTAAGGAAAAATTAGTTCGGTAAAAATTAAAAATAACTTTGTAAAAACCTAACTGAAACCAATTGAACTTTTTAATTTTGTGACAATATCTCAACTTGAACATAATTAAGTAATTTTGTGAATTTAAAAGGTACACATTTTCTTAGATTTTGGCATTTGATTTTACCTTTGCATTAAGTTTAAGATGAAAATATCTTCCCTCAACATTAAAACGCTAAATATATTTTTTGTCCAAGATATCCGCCAGAGGTAGTCTATTGGCTGACCATTGCCAAACCAGACACGGGGAAAAGTTGTAGGATCCAAAGTGTAAACAAGACTTTCATTGTTCTTAATTAAAGTTAAACTAAAGAATTTTAAATAAAAACAAATTATACTTATTTTGCATTAAAAATATTTATTTCACATCATCAGGCTGCAGGATTCTAGTTGATCAATAATTGCAAATAAATGCTTATGTTATGTAATCATTCAAAAAGTTAAAAAAATATTTTTTTGAATTATAACCAGGCCTGAAGACGCATAAGTCTTGACTATAATAGAAGTACATCATGAATTATCTCCTCTATTATTATGGATGGTGTGTTGATCAGAGCAATTGCAATTGAAAACATGTATACTAGTTGCTCTTTCATTCTGCATTGTGGGGGCTTATAATTTTTAAAAACAAATTAGCAGATTAGATCAGATAGACAAAAATCATTATTAATTAAATCTTATAATTTGGAAACATTGCCTTATTGTGGACTGTAGGTATGTTTATAAGACAAAGTAAATTGTGAAAGGAAATAAAATGTCTTTAAGAGATTTTACACTTAATTTAAATCTTGGACAATTGATTAATAAAAAAAGCCACATTATACATAATACTGTAATAAGTTTTAGTTATCGGTATTTATAACTTCTTTTGTCAATTACCACACTTGCAGAGCTGTAAAATCTGAACAACATTGTAGCCCAATGGTGCAACCAAGCAATCTGAAGAGGTTTTCATTAACTTAAATATAAACACTGAGCTTACCAAGTAGAAGATTATTACAATCAGAAAGACCAATGCATGAGCATTTTCAGGCAATGGTTAAATTTATTTATATTTATAACAACATTTTGAAGTGGGCCATAGACACACGTCTACAAGTGCTTGGCTATAAAAGACATACAAAATTTCAAATTAAAAAAGGATATTGAAGTAGTTACCTGTTTTTATAAAAATTGTTCTAGTTCAACCTGATATTTTTTAAAGCATTCACATTTCAACCATAATTTGGAATTTTTCAAAACATGTCATGTGTCACAAATGTATGTGGCCAGGCCTCTTAAAATCACTTCTAACAATCTGACATTTAATTACATTTGATCTCTGAATCATAAAATAATACTAGAATACTTGCCTCTTGTAGAGCAGATCAAAGCTATTATTTTTATATCATGGGGTAGTTTCCTATACACGGTTAATATACCTGGGAAATAATATTGTAACAATTCCTTACAATTTTTGTAAGTGAAAAATTACTTTACAAGGAAATCATCTGAAATAGGATTCACACTAAAACACATGTAAGATCCACACAACTTACAATTCCTTATTTGTCACACTATTTTAAAGACATTTTTCAAGAAAGAAAATCGCATTTATTTAGTAAATTAAGCAATAAGTTATTGTAGTAGGTGTGGTAACATGATCGTTTCATTAAAAAAATTTTGAAACAATAAAATAATTATTTACCAGTACTAGAATTTATAATATGATTTAATTAAAACTTTTCTTTTCAAAAAGATTTTGCTCAAATTCACACACTATTGCACCTTAAAAATTACAATATAAAAAACATAAAATGAAAAGTTTGTACTTGATAAAATTGTTTGAAACCTGTTATTTTTATTTAGAAGCTATCTACTTATGAAAGAAAAGTCATGTGATGTATTTTAAATTTAAGGTCTCAAATTTTAATGTTTAAGAATTAACTCTTTACCCATCTTGCATTTTCAAAATCAAAACTGACAAGTAAAAACCAATGGGTTTTGAATATTTTAGGTCGATATTTGTTTGCAATAGGACTCTTATTACTTTTGTATTCACTTATAATTACAAGTTTAAACAAAACCGTGTGGTGTAATAAAATGAGTTATAACAGCGTTTTAGGATCATTAATTCAATAAACTGTTTGTATCAATACTATAAATAATGAAATTTTTGTAACCGCTTCATTTCTTTGACTCAACAAAATAGTAGTTACTGGTACTTCATGTTATGTTTGGTATAGTTCATATTTTTATTTAACTTTTATTTTTATTTCCATTAATTATAATATTAAACCGGTATAAAATTCAAGGTATTAGTTCAGAAATTAATTAATTTTTCTCTCAGTTTTCATTTTTTAAAAACTAACTGGGATTTAAGACAGAACAGACAAAAACTCAGAAAGAAAAAAGTTTTAAAAATACTTCAACAATACAGCAGTAAATCAATCCCAATGCTATATTTTGTTCACTATACTCCCAAGCCCAAACAATAGCTTTCTCCATCAGTGCTTTCGTGTGTAAGCCATTATATAGTCTGTATCAAAATAGACCACCAGGATAGTCATGTCATCCCGATAAAGTCTCACTAACTTCTCTGGTAGTGTCAACTGTGCAGACAACTGGCCATGTTCTAATCCTAACGCATGGCGTAGCAAATGTGTGGTCACATTTTCATCCACTGCTCGCTTGGCTAGGTTGCTTTTTCTTTTGCGTAGTGTTTCATTGATGACCCCTAGGTGAGCATTCTCAGGAGGACGGTAATGGGCAAGTACTTGGTGACCATCTGTATGATGACCAACTAATGATACGACCTTATCAAGGGACATACCCTCTGAATCCCATAGTCCATCTGAAGCTATAACGAGAAACCTGTCCTTGGGAGACAACCGGTAATGCAAAACTTCTGGTTCAGCATCTAAGTAAGGAGGTGTCTGATAATTGTGAGGAACTTTCAAATCTTTGTAACCACTGAGGAAAGGACCAGGATGTTTCCCCATCAGACGAGATAAATTGATCAGATCACTTTTAGCCCATTTGTAACGTATATCACCAAAAGCCCTGAGAGGCATAAGCTGACCAAATAGTCTAGAATCTTTGAGAATGTTGTTACTTTCATTTTGATGCTTTGAGAAAAGTCGTTTCACCTCGTTCTCATTGTGAGCATCATGTTTATTGCTCATAGGTGTTGCATGCCAAGTTTCAGAGTCTGTGGAATGGCTTCCTATTACAGCTTGACAATCTCCAACATTGGCCACATATAAATCCAAACCATCAATGTAGGCCACACATCCTACAGAGCCAGAAAAAGCAATATTGACCAGATCAGCGCCGAGTCCTTCGTCGGTTGTGTGAATTGTAGCTTCTGTAGATATGTCTTGATCCAAACGCAGAAATGCGTTTTTTAATGCTTCTTCCACCTATACATTTAAAGAAATTTCAGGGATTATTACGCTTAACAATAAAATTCTATGACTTTTGCTTAAGTATTTTGATAAATAACTATAATTCTAAGTTCTCTATTAATTTTTACATAGTGAATTGTGTTTTTTAAATTTAAATACAATAAAACAAATATGTTAAAGGCAGAAACTTTAACTAACGGTAAAAAAAAAAAAAAAAAAAAGATTTCTTAAAAAAATGTTTTATTAAAAAAAAAAAAAAAAAATAAAAAAAAAAAAAAAATGTAAAAGGAAAAAAAATAAAAAAAAGAAAAAAAAAAAAAAAAAAAAAAGATTTCTTAAAATAATGGTTTATTAAAATCAGAATAACGAAATAGAAAAAAAAAAACAAGACACAAAGACATGAAAAACAGAGGCTTTAAAACATTTTAAAAAAAAATTCAATTTTCTTACGTTGCTGTCTAAGCCATACATGTCCTGGGAATCTATCACATACTGAAGTAGACTTTGCCAGTGTATAGAGTCAAGGTCTGGACTTACACTGTCAGTATGTGTGGTACTCAGATATTCAACCAACTGGTCAACAGCACTGGGACCTTCTTTAGTAAGTTGATTTAGCTTTTGTGGATCTGACAGTGAAACTGCAATGTACTTGAAGAGCCTATCTTTCAAGGCTTGGGCACAAGCACAGCCAGCATGTCCATCAAATACACCAAAAAGATATTTTTCTGTCGCTTTTAGTTTTGCTTCTAAGTGACGATCCTCAATCGGTTTATTTGCCTGCAATTTCAAAACATGAGTTATTAAAACATTCTGCAATAAAAATTTATGAAGAGAACAACTGTTTTAAAAAAAAACTTGTGTTAAGTGTTGACTTGCAAATTGATTAATGGACTATTCCTACTAAAAGCCTTTTAGTACTATTAACCTTATTTTAAATAAGAGACTAATATCAATTACTTATAGTATGCCTATATACAGTATATAGAGACAAAGACTGTAGCAATCATTACTTATTATAAGACATATATAGACCTTTAGTCTTTAGCCCTTAGACTTACCGGTAATTGATTGCAATGTACTTCTTTTACAACTCCCCCTGTGTCAGTTTGTTTTGCAGTTTTCTCATTCATTCGGAGAATAGATGTTACCATTTTCGGTGTGAGTCTTGGAGATTCAACAGGATCTGGTCCATGCGCCAGTCGTATCTTGTAAAATAATTTCATGAAAGAGTGGCACCGCCCATTGTTAGGAATCGTAGGTAGACCGATTAGACTTATATTACCTTTGCATTTGTGTGATCTAAACACATTTGATATTGACGCCAATTGAGTATTAGAAGATGAAAGATTTTTTATTGTACCTGTGAAGGTATATCTAGCGGAGTTCATCATCTTGAGGATCTATTTCAAAATGAAATTTGGGATACCTATTAAATTAATCCGCAAATCGCTTACATTTCCGAAAACGAAATCAATTGTAAACTATTAAGCAGTTTTTAAGCATACTCTTCCACTTCAAGGTCGATTATCTGTATTAATAGTGTAGGTTTTGATTTTGGCCATATTTTTTTGTTAATTTAAATTGGAAATTTTGCGATTTTGTGTTACATTAAACTATTTAGAAATTAAACATTTTTCATTACCACTTTCGTTTAGACTCATCAACTACATTGAAGTTAATTACATCAACACTAAATAAGGGTATTTTCACAAGTGCGAAGTGATGTTGCATTCTGGATAAGTCAATCTGGCATAGAATAGTGTCTATCTGCAGTTTTATCGAGAAATAAATATAGTACTTAAAAAATAAACAAAATAACAACAATCTCGTTATTAAAACTAGTCGATAGTCAATAAAAAATTTCTAAATGTGGCATCGATAACCGTTAAGTTAATATTTTTTCTCGAAATTTTGTTGTGCATGCTCAATGCTATTAAATTAAATGCAATTTGGCAAGACATTGAAATGGAGTCGGAGTCGCGGCAACAGTCACAGACCTAAATTATATAAAGTTCCAAAAATTATCAAGAATTCTTGTATTATTTTTAAAACGTTACAAATGCCATATATTACAAACAACAATATTATTTTATTATTTAGAATTTAGGAAGATGACAATAGAGACATTTACACTATTTTAGACTCCCCGAACTACTGTAACCGTACTAATACTTACTAATAGTATTAAATAATTATTGCTTCTCTAAATACCGGTACCGGTAGTGGAACTTGAATGCAAGTATTTAATCTTGAGTTGAGTTAATTTTATAACTGTACTGGTAAAGTCACTGAAAAGATTGACATTCTTCCAAAATATTATTTGTATTTGAAACTTCACTGATTTTATTTATTGAAACTTAGAACTAGCTGTTAAATAAATTGAACAAAGTAAATTAGTTAGGCTTAATTCAGAACCTAATTAAATAAGGTAGCGATTCTGAATTACTTATTAATAAGGGCAATTAATTATCAATTAGAATTAATTTAGGCCTGATTGAAATTGTTGTTAAAAAATTTAATTAATGGTTAATAAAGACTAATAAGAATGTCAAATGAGGCTAACAAATGTTAGTAACTTATTCAGTTGTTGTTATGTTAACTTAAAAAGAAAAGAAAAACAACACAGTCCGGTACACAAATTCATTGTACAGAATACATCCACAATAGCAGTCTAAACTAAAATATAAACACATTTTATTTTCAAATACCAACATTTAACAAGCTAGTCTAATCCATAATATTTAATAAGTTAATAAGGCTAATAAAACTATATCCTTCTTTATATTATTTTATTTCGATTTAAAAAAATTAGACCCACAAATATACATATTATTATTACAGAAGCCGTGTTACTGTTAGTGTTAGACTTAGTAGTGACTTAGACTAGTACAGGATAGCCGCATCGTTTCCCAAACCGTTGCCGTTGCCGTTGCACATTCACATATTATGCCAGATCATCATGGATGCAGCAACGTAGTCTATCAGAATCAGAATATTATACAATAATATTATTTAAATATTATGATATTGTACAAGTTATTTTATATAATATAACAATAGACAATAGTCATGATAATAATATAATTGTTATAATTATAATCCTAGCCCAACTAAGACTGTTTCAAAGTCTAACTTCTAATTCTAAGTAAGTCTAACTAAGACTAAGTGAATAGTGTTAATTAATAAAATAATTATTGTGTAACAGTAACTTCAGTAAGTGTAAGTAAAAGACTATTAAACAAACATTCATTATACTATTTACACTAATTTACAATACATTATACATACATTTCCAAAATATATGACTGCTGGTTTGAAAGAAATATATATATATATGTGGTGGTTGCCTTGTCAGCTTTGTCTTTTCATGCATGTATTCTTCTATAAATATCAACTAACAAGTTTCCACTAGTGCAGATCACATTATTGCACTCTGGTAACTGGTATTAACTAAAGGTCAGGTGCTAGTACCAAACCATATCAAAACGAGTGTTGCTCTGACTCTGACTGATCTAAAAATATATTTCAACTGCTGCTACAATGTTATAAAATGTGACTCTGACTCTGATATTTATTATTCAATGTAGACTGTAGATACTTTCATACTCTCTAAGCACACTCAGTCATGACAGTCGCAAAATGAGGAGAAAACTTATGTTTTTTTACTTCAGTTTACTACTTTTTCCATCTTTGTTTTTAATAACTGAATCAATTTACCTAGAGAGTCTATTATAACTACAAATAATATACCGGTAATTAAAAAAACTATCATCAGTGGCTTTCCTTGAATAAATGGAGAACTCCCAAAATTACACCACTCCCCCTGTATACCACTACCAGTGATGGGACTTGTCGATCAATAGTGTGAGATGATGAATAAAGTCAAAAAGTTATCTTTAATACAAAATCCCAATTTGTTTGTTCCTCAGTAACACTTAAGAAGAATGAAGGTATGGCAACTGATCATCACAGGAGTTGTGGTACACTTAGTATTTTTTTATTCCATTTTTGATATCTACTTTACCTCACCATTAGTCCATGGCATGACGCCTCTTTCTTCTGGAACATCGGTGCCAGCTAAACGATTGGTTCTCTTTGTAGCAGATGGATTGCGAGCAGACAAATTTTTTGAAGCAGATAAATTTCAGAAAAGCAGAGCTCTTTATTTAAGGTTTTTATATTTTTGTTAAAGACAAGTTAAGTTTTTTCCAACCTAATCCATGTTTCCAGCCATGTAATTCCATAAATTAACAATAAACATGGAGATACAAGCAAGAAATAAAAGCAGTATGAAAATTATAATAAAAAATTAGCGATACTCATGTTCTTCAGTCTTAGTAAATAGGTGAACAGTTAAAACTTTACTTCCAGTTTTGGGAAATAGGTAGTGGAGGTTGTATAATTATTTTTTGAATGCTGTTCAATTCAATTTTGGGGAATGGCTTTGTGGTTATCAGTGGACTAACTTATATTTTTACTCATTTTTAAAAACAGAAATGTAATTGAGAAGCATGGTGTTTGGGGCATTTCCCACACAAGAGTGCCGACAGAATCACGACCAGGGCATGTAGCCCTTATAGCTGGATTTTATGAAGATGTCAGTGCTGTTGCTAAAGGTTTTGTATCCTTTTTAGAGGAAAAATATCAAAATAAGTAAATATAGCTTTAGAAAATAACTTGAATAATCAAGATGTATGGTGCACATCTTATATAGTTATATAGAAAATGTATTTATACAAATTCTGGTAATAAAGTTATTTATCCCATCAGTCACTTGATCCTGCTTTATAATTATTTGTATTAAAATTTATACTTGATCTCTATCATCTAAATGAATGCAACATGGAAATTTAATTTTAAGGTTGGAAAGAAAACCCAGTAGAATTTGACTCTGTTTTTAATGAAAGTCGTAAAACATGGTCTTGGGGCAGTCCGGATATTCTTCCAATGTTTGCTAAAGGTAACTCTATTAATTATACTATAAACTGGTTATAATATCTTTTTTTATATCAAGTTTCTAGCAATAAGTACAAGGTAATTTTGATAAATGTTCATTATGTACCCAATATTGCATTTACAAAGTTTCATATCAAACTGCAGAAACATTTTTAAAATAAATATTTGAACCATTTAAGCAAAAAAATAATTGGGGAACAATGTATTCAAATTTAGTAATATTTTTGAGCTAAGTTCCTGTACTTAGATATGTTGAGCTGAATGACTTTGTTCAGGTTATGGAATTGCTGAACATTTTATTTGATTAAAATCTGATCCTAATATTTTGAGTCATGAATGTATTGCATTGCGGCTTCATGCAAATGTGTCTTCTATCAGGGGCAAGTGGGGACCATGTGAGCATTAATTGTTATTCTTCTAATTTGGAGAATTTTGCTGGTTCTGATATGACACGACTGGATACCTGGGTCTTTGAAAAAGTTACAGTATGTAGAGTGATGAAAGATCACATTTATTAATAATGCATTCATTATTTTGGTCAGTGCAATCTGACATTTGCAATCCTATCTGACCTCTGCCATCCTATCTAACCTCTGCCATCTTAGCTGGCCTTTGAATCCTAACTAACCTCTGCCATCCTATCTGGCCTTTGAATCCTATCTAACCTCTGCCATCCTATCTGGCCTCTGCCATCCTATCTGACCGCTGCCTCTGCCATCCTATCTGACCTCTGCCATCCTATCTGACCTCTGCCATCCTACCTGACCTCTGCCATGCTATCTGACCTCTGCTATCCTGTCTGGCCTTTGAATCCTATCTAACCTCTGCCATCCTATCTGACCTCTGCCATCCTATCTAACTTCTATCATCCTATCTGACCTGTGCCATCCTATTTTACCTCTGGAGAGATGGAAAGTCTCAACAGAAAATTTTCTTTATAGATAAAGTAAAAACAAATAATTTAAATTCCAAATAGTCACGTTGGTCCTAATAGTACTCTTTATAAACCCAGGCTGGACAACCCCAAATGATTCCATTTATAAATTTATGCTATTTTAAGTAAGTTCAATTTTTCTGCAGTTACCCAAAAAAAAACAACAAAAAAAAACACAAAAAACCTTGAACAGAGCACCACAAACAAAAATGTACTGGTTTAAGGTCTAATTATTATTTTTACTTCATAATTCTTAATAAAATTTCAGCTATTCTTCAACTCTGCATCAAACAATTCCACTTTGATGAAACTCTTACATGCTGACAAGTTGGTGTTTTTTTTGCATCTCCTGGGTATTGACACACATGGCCATACTCATAAGCCACATTCATGGTAAGATTAGTAATACCCACAGAAGTTATATTACATTAGGACATACATGTTTAAATGATGTACCAACTGACGTTAACTTACATTAGGCTGCTTACATGTTTAGATGATGTACCACCTGAAGTTAATTTCAGGCTGATTAAATGTCAAGATGATTATGATGATTACATGTCTAGATAATGATGATGTCTCTATATTTGTTCCAATGTTCTATTCCAGGGCCTATTCATATAATATTGAATTGGTAGATGCTGGTATAAAACAAATGGTGTCTCTCATAGAAAATTTCTATAACAATGACATGAAAACATCGTATGTCATGACATCAGATCATGGCATGACAGACTGGGGTAAGTTATAAGTTTGCATTTTGAGCTTATCAACATTTATCTATGGATAGGTCTAAATTTATTTTGACTTTTCATCCCCATAACTTTAAAGCTCGTTTTCTGGTTCTGAAAAACCGCTCAATTCTTATGGCAGACCCGGTCACCAATGAGATTTTCAGAAAACCTCCTCTTTTCGCTTTCCGGAGGGACAAGAGCCGTGGGGACATGCTAGTCAGAAGCCACCTCCCCACTATCAAAGCACATAAAGGCACCAAAACTTGCAACCGTAGCCGTTGCAACACATGTCCCTATCTGATTGAGGTTGACAAGATCACTTTCCCTCTAGAATTATTCAAAATAAAAGATGGCTTTACCTGCACAAGTCACAATGTGATTTACACCATCATTTGCAAAAAGTGCGGTAAAGTATATGTAGGAGAGACAGATCGTCGCCTTGGAGACCCGTTTAGAGAACACCTCTATAACATAAATAAGCAAGCTCTCTGTCCGGTCTCCAAACATTTCAATAGCCCTAACCATGATGGTATCTCAGACATCGCTGTCACTGGTATAATTTATACTAGTAGCACAACAGATAGAATCTATATGGAGAATAAATTAATAACACGATTTGGTACGTTGTCTCCATATGGAAAAAAAACAAATCCCCAATTTTGCCTAGCTGCCATGTCTCTTTTCCTGTTTGGTTTTTACAATCTTGCTCAAATCCCTTCCTTTACACTTTACTTTAGTTTGCTTCTGTCTGTTTTTTTTGCCCACTCCAATTTTTTCTCCCCCTTTTTTAAGTAGGATATCTGTATATATATTATGTAAATTTAAATTATACTTATTTGTCTTTTTGTTTTACTGATGAAGACATGTGCCGAAATGTATACTTTTGTATTCTGTAAAATTATCATTAAAGCTTACCTTATATTGTTATATTGACACAAATTGTTGTTGTCTAATTAATTTATTTTAAAGCTTTATCGCAGTCCAACACTTTTTATAATTAGTTTATCAACATTTAGTTGTTGTTTTTTACTCCCACTCAACCTCAGACCAATCAAATTTACTCACAACTGAGCCAGATTCCTCCACCCATTTAGTTTAACAGACTTCAAATCCTCTATTTTATCACTTGTGCACATCTGACATCCTCTATTTTATTAGTTGTTCACAGCTCACGTATTCTACTTTATAAGTATGTGATAATATTTTTGACTACTGGTGCTTCACAGAAGTCTAAGTAAGAAATTGTTATGTCTGCTGTGCATGCTATAACTTTATGGAGCACTGGTATAGCATATCTAACACATTTCAGATGTCATGTTATATGTTATCAACAGCTTTCTTCCGTTGCAGGCTCCCATGGGGCGGGTCATCCACATGAGACCCTGACGCCATTTGTTGCGTGGGGTGCTGGCATCAGGCCACCTATATCAACCAGTGACTGTGGGGGGACTTATAAAGATTCATTTTGTTCAGGTAGGACCACTTTACTCTCTCTGTACAGTTTGCTGTAAAGCTTAGAATTTAAAATGTTCTATTCCAAAGTCCTTAAAGTTTATTCTAAAGCTTGCAATTCAAAATGCTTCCTTCCATAGTCCTTACAGTTTTTTCTAAAGCTTTCAATTTAAAAATTTTGATTTCTTTTTCCAATGGAGAAGTAACACATGACCTTTCAAAACAAAAATTTGCCAAATAAATGTAAATAATTTCAATAAAATAACTCATTAAATACTGAGCCATAAGATAAATTACTGAGCCATAAGATAAATATCTGAGCAATAAGATAAATTACTGAGCCCTAAGATAAATTACTGAGCCATAAGATCAATATCTGAGCCATAAGATAAATTACTGAGCCATAAGATAAATTACTAAGCCATAAGATAAATTACTGAGCCATAAGAAGGCAAACAAATGAGGTTAAAACACATCTATAAAATTAAATCATTTCTTGACTATCTCCCCAATAACAGAGTGGAACCTTGACACAGTGAAGAGAACAGACATAGAACAGGTAGGACAATCCACACCCAAGCATCCTCAACCTTTAATATGATTATTGCAAGGGGGAGATTTTCAATGTCATTGATCATGCTTGAATGTTTTGTGTGTTCCACACATTTAATATAGGACTTGCAGTTTCAATCCCATGCCAGTTTGGCTGCTGTTTTTGGGTGTTTTCCATGGGGCTTTCCTCTTCCCTAATGATAACTGCTTTGGTTTGGTTTGAGTGATTCCCAGCTCATTTGAACTAGATGACTGGTTATGAGGTTTCCCTTCTACTTCAGTATTAAAAAAAATAATATTAGCATTGATGATTTTGAAAGATATTCTGATTTACAATTTCCCAGGCTGATATTTCTCCTTTGATGTCCTACTTGATTGGTGTTCCTTTTCCTGTTAACTCAGTGGTAAGATTTATGTAGGTCATGTCAAGTTGTTTAGGGAATGTGCTGGAAATTAAATAAATAGATAAGTCAAATTTTAAAATCAGAAACTTGATTCAGAAAAGTATTAATTTTGCTTTTTTCTGTTTTCCTTTATTATGTCATTGTCGGAAACTTTAGCATTTAAATATAAAGAAAGGAATTTTAATGGATTTGAAGATTGTTTGATTGTGGACTGACTCTCTGCAGGGTACCTTACCAATAGATGTTCTGAGTGCACCAGAAGATGAAAAAGCAGAAGCTTTACTGGCAAATGCTGAGCAGATTTTAGCCCAATTTCAGGTAATTTTTTTTTTTTTTAAATTAAATAAAAATCATTTGCTTTAGTTTCTAGCCACACAACATCATAGAGAAAAAAAATTACCCTGATTTGTTTTTATTTTTGAAGAGAATACTTACAAATAAAAATTAATCAAGAGTTCTTGGAATGGCAATTTACAGGGAATTAAGAATTAACTAGTTATAGCCCGCTAAACATTGGTGACGGCAATGCGCCAACTTCCCATCTACTAAAGTTACTTGACAAAACATGAACTCAAGTATCGCACATATATGTAATTACCCCCCCCCCCCCCCCATGACATGTTACTGCACACTTTTTTTTTCACGCCCATGAACTATGTTAAATATTCTGATGTCCCAAACAATTTTAAACTGAATTTTTTTTTTACAAAATACTTAAATTTAGGCGATTTCATTTATAGAAAAATATTACGCACCAAACGAAGTTGCGTTATTAAAAAAAATATAAATGATTTAGCGTAGTTATCGGGAATTATATTTTGTGCGCTAGTGAACTCATTATCTATATATTGCCTGAATGGTGGTGGTGGTGTTCGACCTTTGCTGGCGAATTATATATATAGATTTTTGGAAAGTTGAGATAGAAAAGATAATTTTGAAGATCTGTTTCTTCAGGTTAAGATGAATCAAATTAAAGAAAGAACTATTTCAGCAACTTTCAGACCTTTCCAGTAAGTAATCATTTTGTTTGCTGTTTGCTAAACAAGCCTTAAATTTTCAGGTAATTAAGAGGTACATTTTTAGAAATTGCTGTTTAGATAAGCCAGATGTACATTTTCAGGAAGAGGTTATTTCATACTTCAGATGTACATTTTCTGGAAGAGGTTATTTTATACTTCAGATGTAAATTTTCAGGAAGAGGTTATTTCATACTTCAGATGTACATTTTCAGGAAGAGGTTATTTCATACTTCAGATGTACATTTTCAGGAAGAGGTTATTTCATACTTCAGATGTACATTTTCAGGAAGAGGTTATTTCATACTTCAGATGTACATTTTCAGGAAGAGATTATTTCATACTTCAGATGTACATTTTCAGGAAGAAGTTATTACATACCATAATATAGATGTACATTTTCTGAATATTTTTGTCAGATAAATTTGTCATAAATTTTTGAGAATGGAGTTGTGTTTACCAGGTTACATTTTACTTATAGAGCTAATGGATGATTGTGTAAAGTGTAAAATAATTGTTTTAATGGATAAAAATTAGTTTCCAGAGTGTTTTGTTGCCTGATAAACACACCAAAAAAAACTAAATGTAAATTGAATGATCTTTTAATGATCTTTTGTAGCGTGGGGAATACATTTTTAGAGAAAGAGACACAAAATATCCAGATATGAATAATTGCTATTTAAAGAATTAAAATGGCCTTTGTTTAGTTTGTCACAGATTTGTTTCATTCTTATTTATTGTTTAGGGAGCTGATTGAAGTGGAGAAGGTAAGAGATTAAATTTGAACAAAGTCTTATTTGATTTTTGTAACCTGAAATTATTCTTTTACATTATGCATGTCGTTTAGCCTTTCTAGATTATTTTTAAATGTAAACCAAGGAATACATTACTAATTTTAAAAAACATTAATGTTTATCATATTGTGACCATATCACTAATTTTAAATAAATTTTTATCATTTGTGACCATATCACTACTTTTAAATAATGAATCAAAATAATTTTAATGTGAGTTTAAAATAATTGCTTTATTTTCAGTTGCGATATATTTAAAAAAAAAACTGTATGTCAAACTAAAATGTCAATTTTAAATTATCTAAGATGTATCAGGGAAAAGGAGTTCAATATATTAGTTACTGTTTTTTTAATTTCAGCTCCAGTCCTTGAAACATATCAGGCAGCTCATTCGCAATGGCCACTATGCTGATGCTGTGAGTTCTTTTTTGATAAATATTTTTTTTTTTTGTCCAGTACATCTTTCATGTATGCACAACAAAGTTGAGTTAACATGTAAAAATAAATACAGAATTTTCTATGTAAGTGGTCTAAGATAATTTCAAATTTATATTTATTTCAGATTAGGGAAACACACATATTGATAGAGACAGCTTTAAGAGGTCTAAGATATTATCAAACTTATGATCGGTTCTTTTTAGGGTAAGTTTGTAGTCAAAGTTAGAAATGACCAAATAAGATCCAAACAGAAAATTGGGACTTTAGTGGAGACAAATGAAGGATTGCAACAAATATTAATTCAGTAACTGGTAGATTGTTAAAGGAATGAAATAGCGAAATGAGGTATGTGGAAGCTTGAAATAAGATAACAGGACAAAAAACAAGGACGTTTCGGCATAAAGCCTTCTTCAGCCAACAGTAGAAATGAAAATATAACAAAGAAAAGAGCACAGTAGACAACTCAAGCAGTATACATTTGTGTCTCTGGAAGTGGGAACACAGGAAGTGAGAGAATATAAATATTGACACTGTGAAAAATGAAGTCCACAATAATAATGGACCAGAATATCCAGGGATATATCAACACACAGCAATAAGAAAATAGATGAAATATAGGGAAACAGAGAAACATCAGTAGGATATTATTTGATTAATACCATGTGGAGATATGGTGCCAAACAGCTGAATAAATTTATTTTCCATTTTAACCCTATCTGGTGTGTTACTGCATGAAATCAGTGCTGTAATGGTCACATCCAATGCACCTTTATGTTCTTTTCTGTTGTAATGAGAAGAGACCGGGAAAGTTTACATTGCTCAATATCTCTTAGATGTTCAGTAAACCTATCAGCCAATCTTCTCCAGTTTCACCTATGTAACTAGATTGTCATCTATGACACACAATCGCATATATTACATTTCGGCTGACACAGGTGTAACCCTCTTTAATGGTAAAGGTACCTTTAGGGAGGCCAATGCTTTCAGTTTGGAGTGTAAAGGGACAAGTCCTGCAGCGGCCTCTTAAGCATGGTTTAGTACCAACGTAAGACGGTTCAGATCGAAGGCGACTATGAACCAGAAGATCACCTAGAAAGCAGTCCTTTCATTTAGATTGTTAAAGGATAGTTCAAAGCTTTGGCACTTGATCAGGTATCAGATGCACATTCAATCTCATTTTGGTCTAATCTGACAGAGATTCACATTCAAACTCATTTTGGTCTAATCTGTCAACATCTGACATAGATTCACATTCAAACTCATTTTGGTCTAATCTGTCAACATCTGACAGAGATTCACATTCAAACTTATTTTGGTCTAATCTGTCAACATCTGACATAGATTCACATTCAAACTCATTTTGGTCTAATCTGTCAACATCTGACAGAGATTCACATTCAAACTCATTTTGGTCTAATCTGTCAACATCTGACATAGATTCACATTCAAACTCATTTTGGTCTAATCTGTCAACATCTGACAGAGATTCACATTCAAACTTATTTTGGTCTAATCTGTCAACATCTGACATAGATTCACATTCAAACTCATTTTGGTCTAACCTGTCAACATCTGACAGAGATTCACATTCAAACTTATTTTGGTCTAATCTGCCAACATCTGACAGAGATTCACATTCAAACTCATTTTGGTCTAATCTGCCAACATCTGACAGAGATTCACATTCAAACTCATTTTGGTCTTATCTGTCAACATCTGACAGAGATTCACATTCAAACTCATTTTGGTCTTATCTGTCAACATCTGACAGAGATTCACATTCAAACTCATTTTGGTCTTATCTGCCAACATCTGACAGAGATTCACATTCAAACTCATTTTGGTCTTATCTGTCAACATCTGACAGAGATTCACATTCAAACTCATTTCCATTACATTAATAAAAAAAATTCTAGTCAGTTACCTTATCATCTAGAATCTTATGTTAAACTTAATCATCTGTATTCTTTTGGTTTTTGAATGTACATTAACATTCATTCAACCAGGTTACAAAATATGTTTACTCATGTAACCCTAAGGTAAATATTTCATGCTGCTGTTTTCCTATAGCACCCATCTTTTACTTGATACAAATACTGTTTGTTGGGAGCACACAGACACATTTGAAATTGGATAATGTTTTCCTACTTCATTGTTTGAATTTGACCAACAAAGCTGTTTTACAGGACTGTTTTGAAGTTGAGCAAGAAAGACGTCTGACAGGGCTGTCAAGTCCATAACACTTATCATTTGCCTATATGTCCTGGTTATGAGGCCACCACTGGGCTCCAATATAACCATCAGTTCTTTAGTATCTTTATTTAGCTGTCTACGGTCTGCATTGCCAATTGTTAAGTTAGCCCAAAACTCAATTGTTAAAAAGCTGTCTTTTGTTGTTGCCTTCAGTGTTAGCATAGTTCTTGGTTTCCTGGGATGGATGAGCTACACCTTGTATCTCCTTGTACTGGAACACACCGAGGTTGGCCAGGCTAGAACAGCCCATCTGGCCACATCACAGAACACCAGGGCTCCCCTCTATGCTTTCCTTGCTGTGGGACTTGCTGTCACATTCCTTCTTTATGGTCAGTAAATTAAGTACTGTGAATTTCACATGTCTACACACAAGATATTGAATTTGTTTTATAATTATTGTTTTACAATTTGACATCTCCTATTTGGAAGGCTGTCCACAAAACTAAATAATTTCACAGACTTGATTGTTTTATTTTAGCGGCAAGTGAAACTGTTTCAAATAACGAGACACTATTATATTATTTACCTTGGTTTTAACTCACATTAACCCATTCCTGCATTACCTGGTGCTGTGTGCCCTCTTAATTACATGCATTAATAAGTAAGGCCAACCCACTTTTTCTGGTATTGATATGATTAGGTGGCACACCTGATGTCATACTTTTCTATTTACAGTTCAGTCCTTGTCGGTGATGTGCTATGTTTACTGTTTGCTGCCGCTGCTTCTGTGGTACAAGTCATATCAGGGGTATGTCGTTTATTTCAGATTTGTCCCTATTAAGGATAGTCTTTAATTAGTATTCTTTAAAATGTTCCATAATTGTTTGAATAGTTTTTACAAATATTTTCCTATTAATAAGCTCAAATTTCAATGTGCAGCTCAAACTCCAGGCTCCATCCAATTTATTTATAATGTGTTGATTTTTTTCCCTAATACCCCACCAATCTTTTTATGTACTTGTTAAATGGGTGTTGTGTTAACTGTCCAGCCTACAAAATGATGTTAACTTAGTATTGTGCTGACTGTCCCACTAACAAAATGAGTGTTGTGATAACTGCCATGCTAACAAAAGGATGTTAAATGGATGTTGTGTTAACTGTCCAGGCAAAAAAATGAGGTTACAGTAGTGTTGTGCTAACAAAATGAGTGTTGTGTCAACTGTTCTGCTAACACAATGATGTTGACTCTGTGCAGGCCAATGTTTTTTTTTGGTTACTTTTAATTTTTTTTTTAAGGTAATCTCACATAATGGGATACCATAAAAATGTTAGCTAATAAATACCCATGGTGCTATGTATTTAATTATTCAGAAATGAATGGAGACTCATATTTTATAAATTGTGCTTGAAAATGATTGTGTGTTTTCTTACAGTTATGATTGATATGTGAAAATTATTTTACATCTTAAAATTTTTTTTTACACCAACAACGTAGTGTTAGGAGGAAAAAAAAACCTGTGGAAGAAATGGTTTAAAAGTTATTGGTATGTTTATTATTCTGCAATATAATATAAAAAAATTAAAAAAAAATTTTTTACAATTACAACTGTTCATATTTAATACAAATACATTTTAAATTATTGAAATTTTAATTAAAATTAAATAAATACAAAAATAATAATAAAGCTAGAATTTACATGGCTAAATTGGGCCTAAACAAATACAAACACTGTCGAAAAATCTTCTAAGCTTAGGGGCCTTCTAACAATTAACAATTATTTCACTTCAACAAAAATGTTTAAATGAGAGTTGTGTTTCCTTTCTCACTAACAAAAAACAGTAAAATGAGAGTTGTCTTTTCTTTCCTGCTAACAAAATACAGTTAAATGAGAGTTGTGTTTCCTGTCCCACTAACAAAATACAGTTAAATGAGAGTAAATTCTGCTTTGCTTTGGTTTTGTAAACACAGTATGACTACAAAACACTGAGAAAAGAATGTCAAATTTCAATCACATAAGGAAACTTATCAAAACAAGATGATGGTCTATGAGCTGAGTGTAGTTTGCTTACATTAACTGTTGCTGTTGTTTTATCTCCTCCCCCAGGTGGAGCCTCTTGTCCCATGCAGTGAGATCAGCTGTCAAGAATCAAACCGTCAGGGACCTGGCTGTCTCACTTTTATTCTGTGTTGCTGGTTTGGAGATTGTTGTAAGTTTACCCTGAACATTGTCACTGGAATCATTTGAGACCTTTAAAAGCATTGATTTTTAACCATATTTAGAACAATCTTTTCCGATTTTTACAGACTTATTACTTTTTGCAGATGGCAACTTTTTCTAGTTAAACAATTACTGCACCCAACAGGCACAAAATAAATGTATTTATTTCTATTATTCTTTTTGCTTGTGAGTTGTGTTCAAAATGAAAATTAAATTGGGAAAAAATTAGTTGATGAGAGTAGTTTTATTTGTTTAAAAAATTTGTTTAAATGAAAATTTATTAGATCTTCATGAAACTTGATATTTCTCACTTATGCTTTGCCATTGAGCTTTTAATTTTTGTAGCAAAGAAATTAGAAACTATCATAAATCATTATAGATTCAGAGTTTCTACCATCGAGAGTTACTCTCCCTTGTGCTTCTGGCAATGTCTGCATGGCCCGTTGCCAGACTTTGGTGGTATGAAGATGTGAACGGCAGCAAAGTGACTGCTGTGGGCTGGTCCCTAACCTGTCTTCTTGTTGCTGTCTATCCCTTCCTGCCGGTTGTTAGAAAGGAAACACAGTACAATCTGGTGTAAGCATCTCTTTAAGTAAAACTTAATTTGTTTTTGTCATTTTAAAAATATGTTACATTTGTTTATAAGGTTTTTAGTATTCAGTTTTGATGGTTTGTTTTCTATAGATGATGTTTAGAAAAGACTTGTTCAATACAAAATGCACTGACATAAAATTTTTAAATTTAATTCCTAGCATCCTTAGTGGCTTGCTGTTCATTATGTTGGCCTCTGTTGTAGCAATTAAGTAAGTTTTTTTTATCATTAATTTTTTAGCTAATATTTAGTTTTTCTTTAATATAAATTAATTGACACAAAATGCTCCTCTGTCCGCACACAAAACACCATGTTCCCACATATTTCTTTTTCAGTAGCTCTCAATAAATATTCTGCTACAGTTAAATGAAAAACCACCATTTGAATAAAGGTGCAACAAGAGCAATATTTTCCTATCTATCAAATTTACCAGCATAACACCAACATTACACATATAATTTGTTTTTTTATGTCTGTTATTTCAGATTATCAAAAAGTATTGAAACTTCCTGCAAATATTTATGGATATTTCAGGTAAACACATTTATTATTTCTGAACTTAAAATAAATAAAGTTATTAAAAAAAAGTCACCCTCTCCAAAAAAATAAATAATTACACCCCCCCCCCCCCCCCCCCCCCCCCCCCCCCCCCCCTACCCCTTACAGATGATTTTCTGTACTTTTTGACAAGGTGTGTTAAATGAATATTTTAACCGATTTATATTGCAATCCGGCTACAAAATTATGTAAGTTGCTTTCATGAGTGGGAAACTCAATTGTTAAGAATTCATTATAAGTGCAGGAATAAAATCATTTTTATAATTAAAGTTGTAAACAGAAAAAGTGCTGCTGATGCCCTAGAGGATTTTATAATGTTGATATTTTCTCAGATATTTCTAGTCTGCCTGTCTGTAGTAACGGTCAAGTTGACCTCTGACAGCATAACAAGAAGAGAGGGTTTGCCTCTGGTCTGTCAGCTGTCTAGCTGGTTTATCTTAGGTAATGGCTTTATTAATTCATCTCTGCAGTACGTCACAGCATGAGAGCACTAGGTCACAGTATGAGAGCACTAGGTAACAGTATGAGAGCAGTAAGTCACAGTATGAGAGCACTAGGTCACAGTATGAGAGCACTAGATAACAGTATGAGAGCAGTACATCACAGCACGAGAGCTCTAGGTCACAGTATGAGAGCACAAGATAACAGTATGAGAGAAGTATGTCACAGTATGAGAGCACTAGGTCACAGTATGAGAGGAGTATATCACAGTACGAGAGCACTAGATCACAGTGTGAGAGCAGGTTGTCAGAGTATGAGAGCACTAGGTCACAGTATGAAAGCAGCTTGTTAGAGTATGAGAGTTGTATGTCACAGTATGAGAACAGCTTGTCAAGATATGAGAGCTGTGTGTGAGCAGTATGAGAGCATTATGTCATGGTATGAGAGCAGTATGTCACAGTTTGACAGCAGTGTGTTGGACTTTGGGATTAATCTCTACGTTTGTGACTACATATTTGTCATTTACTAACGATTCATTACATTTAAAACACTTTTTTTTTGTCATTAACTTCTTCCTTATTGCAATATTCTCTTGATAATCCACCTCAGGTTGTGGTCCTTTTTTGCCCATGATGTGTTTGACCAATTTACGAGCAAGGCTGTTTTCACTAAGTTTGGGATTTTTCGCCCCGTACCTGCTGCTCAGTATTACGTATCCTTTTTTAGTCAGGGCCAACAATCGAGAAAAGATGAATACAGGAATAAGATCAACTGCAGCATATATTTCAAATATAAGTTTCTGTAGATTTGAAGGAATAGTTACTTTGACAAGGGTGTTTTAAGTGCCATGTGTCATTTTAAAGTGTCATTATGTGGCAGTCACAGTACCACCACCCTATGCCAGCGTTTCCCAAACGTTTAAGTTTGGCAGACTGGTTGAGAAGTTTCCCATTGCAACCAGTGCCAGATATTGTTTTTTTTAAAAACTTTTATTATGTCATAAAAATATTTGTAAATCCAGAATCAACCAGTTCAATAGGTGATTTAATGCTAGCAATAATTTTGTGTATATGTCTTGTTAAGGATGTGTTCAAATAAAATTTAGATTAAAAAAATGAGAGTCTAGGTAATAGACTGGATAAAACATTTCTAATTGATAAAAGGTTTCTTTATGTACTGCATAGGTTCTTAACCTTGGGGATGTGGGAGACATTGAGCGGGAAGACCCAAAAAATGAGTTTTATTTGGATTTGTATTAGCATTTTTGGTCAGGGGGTGCGGGAAATATGTTTTGAAAGAAAGATGGGTCTGCTTGAAATGTTTTTAATCAAGGGGGGCAGTGGGGCTGCAGAAAGTTTAAGAGCCTCTGACGTAAAGGAATTAATCAGTGGCGCAGCCCTGGGCAGGCCAAATGCTTGCCATATCCCTTCTATGAAAAACTGCAGCTGGCCAAAGGGCAGCCAAGGGCGGACCCCCTACTCCTCACCCCCTTCTTCACTTTTGTGGCATTTAATTTTTGATTTTATCACGCTCAAATATTTTGAGGAGATAATCTCCCTTGCAAAATTTAAGTTGCACTCTTTCAGTTTACAGCCAGTGAGTTAAGGCTGAGATGTGTGTCTCCTTCAGGGGGGCTAAGGTGTGTCTTGAAAATAAGCGATCACAAACTTCCATGACAAAAGAAGCCGAAAGTATGGCACAGTAGGGATTTCCACTTCAGTCAGATGGGTTCAGTCACATGGGTTCAGTCAGATGGGTTCAGTCACCTTGACCAACAACTATGTGTTGTTTTTTTTTACATTCCCCATTTTGCATAGAAAAATTATTGGGGTTGCCAGTTTAGGCATGATCTTTTCACACCAAATTTTGTATATGAAATTGGTTTATCCCTGTTTTGTGAGTTATTTAAATTGATAGGTTTCACATTAAACATTTTAATCTTGTACATTGTACAGGGTCAGTTTACCACATTTCCCAGACTCCTCAATGCTGAGTATTTCTTGGCTTACAATGCTGAGTATTTCTTGGCTTACAATGCTGAGTATTTCTTGGCTTACAATGCTGAGTATTTCTTGGCTTACAATGCTGAGTATTTCTTGGCTTTTAAAAAAACACTCTCAAGTTATGAAGTTTGTTTTGAAATAAAACTTAACTAATGAGCGCAACGGACGATCTTTGCTAAATCTGCCTTTGGCAATGCTCCAATTTTAAATGTTGTTAAAACAAGACTGTTGATTTGTCCATAACTTTAAAAAAATCAGCTATGAGGGATTGTTTATTGTGTCTCTGTTCTCACTCCTGTACTTCTGGCTAGAGATGGAGTATGAAACAAACAACAGATCAGGTGACCTTGTAAGTCTCATTGTAAACTAGTATGACCTTGTAAGATTGTCTCATTGTACATCAGTAGTAAACAGCAAATCATGTTTTTAACAGTGAACATTGTCCCATAGGCTCATATCAATTAAGTTGGTTTAAATTGGTCCAAAAAACATAGCAGAAGGCCAATTCTCATAAAAATGAAATATTAATTAAATTTAATATTGATAACCTATTTTAAAGTTTCCCAATTTTAACTTTCTCCCCAGAAATTTGAACAAGTTGATTTCAGACATGAGGGGCTTGTCAAAGATAACATAACTTCACCTACATTTTCAAGACATTTGGAGTTATCTGACTTGAGGAGGGCTTTCTTTTTTGTATCCTTTAAATAATTTTTATATTTGTGATTTATAAAACCTCCAAAAGAGGATATGGTATGAGCAAAAACCTTGTTCATTTTAACTGATCATTTTAATGGACACTTAAAATCAGATGTACTTATAAAATTATTTATTTTAATATACATTATTTCAAGTACACAAAATCTCTAAAATACTTAGTCGTCAAAAAGAAATATTTTTTTTTGCTATAAATACCATCCAAAGAGTGTACTGTGAATTAATCATCCATAATAATCCATCTAAGAGAAGGCAAACTCTGAATTTAAACCAGGAGCCAGAATGATCAACAAATTGATCATGGGCCCTTCAAATATAAGATGAAGAAGATAAAACACAGAAAAACATGATTTGGCCAACCATTTTCTGAGCTAACATCATTGGGGAAAAATGTTTTACTTTGAATCCTTGCAAATTAAATTATTCAGTTTTTACTCTGCGACAAACTTGTAATTTAAAAAAAAAAATCACTTATTTACAATAACAAAGCAAGCCACCAAACAATTGAGTTAAATGTCTTAATGACCCTAACACATGCCTAGATATTCCTTGTACTGATCGCCTTTTTTGGGACCGGCAACATTGCAAGCATCAACAGGTTTTGTTTCATTTCTTTGGATCAATAGTTTTAGTTAGTTCCCAGTTTTATGGAAACACTTTTTTATTAGTAATTTCAAATGAATTTTATGTAATTTACTGCTTTATTTAATCTGAAGGTGTCTTCAGCATATGATCTCGATGTTTTCAGAGTATAATCATGTCTTCAGCATATAATCCTACACCAGACCATCCAGTATCATTTGTATTTTAAAACATTGAATGGACAACAATTTTGGTGTAAGCCAAAATGATTGTTAGACAATCATATTGGTGGGACCTCCTTTGTTTGTTGAACAATCATGTTGGTGGGACCTCCTTTGTTTGTTAGACAATCCTATTGGTGGGACCTCCTTTGTTTGTTAGACAATCCTATTGGTGGGACCTCCTTTGTTTGTTAGACAATCCTATTGGTGGGACCTCCTTTGTTTGTTAGACAATCCTGTTGGTGGGACCTCCTTTGTTTGTTAGACAATCCTATTGGTGGGACCTCCTTTGTTTGTTAGACAATCCTATTGGTGGGACCTCCTTTGTTTGTTGGACAATCCTATTGGTGGGACCTCCTTTGTTTGTTAGACAATCCTATTGGTGGGACCTCCTTTGTTTGTTAGACAATCCTATTGGTGGGACCTCCTTTGTTTGTTAGACAATCCTGTTGGTGGGACCTCCTTTGTTTGTTAGACAATCCTATTGGTGGGACCTCCTTTGTTTGTTGGACAATCCTATTGGTGGGACCTCCTTTGTTTGTTGGACAATCCTATTGGTGTGACCTCCTTTGTTTGTTGGACAATCCTATTGGTGGGACCTCCTTTGTTTGTTGGACAATCCTATTGGTGGGACCTCCTTTGTTTGTTAGACCATCCTATTGGTGGGACCTCCTTTGTTTGTTGGACAATCCTATTGGTGGGACCTCCTTTGTTTGTTGGACAATCCTATTGATGGCACCTCCTTTGTTTGTTAGACAATCCTATTGGTGGGACCTCCTTTGTTTGTTAGACAATCCTATTGGTGGGACCTCCTTTGTTTGTTAGACAATCCTATTGGTGGGACCTCCTTTGTTTGTTAGACAATCCTATTGGTGGGACCTCCTTTGTTTGTTAGACAATCCTATTGGTGGGACCTCCTTTGTTTGTTAGACAATCCTATTGGTGGGACCTCCTTTGTTTGTTAGACAATCCTATTGGTGGGACCTCCTTTGTTTGTTAGACAATCCTATTGGTGGGACCTCCTTTGTTTGTTAGACAATCCTATTGGTGGGACCTCCTTTGTTTGTTAGACAATCCTATTGGTGGGACCTCCTTTGTTTGTTAGACAATCCTATTGGTGGGACCTCCTTTGTTTGTTAGACAATCCTATTGGTGGGACCTCCTTTGTTTGTTAGACAATCCTATTGGTGGGACCTCCTTTGTTTGTTAGACAATCCTATTGGTGGGACCTCCTTTGTTTGTTAGACAATCCTATTGGTGGGACCTCCTTTGTTTGTTAGACAATCCTATTGGTGGGACCTCCTTTGTTTGTTAGACAATCCTATTGGTGGGACCTCCTTTGTTTGTTAGACAATCCTATTGGTGGGACCTCCTTTGTTTGTTAGACAATCCTATTGGTGGGACCTCCTTTGTTTGTTAGACAATCCTATTGGTGGGACCTCCTTTGTTTGTTAGACAATCCTATTGGTGGGACCTCCTTTGTTTGTTAGACAATCCTATTGGTGGGACCTCCTTTGTTTGTTAGACAATCCTATTGGTGGGACCTCCTTTGTTTGTTAGACAATCCTATTGGTGGGACCTCCTTTGTTTGTTAGACAATCCTATTGGTGGGACCTCCTTTGTTTGTTAGACAATCCTATTGGTGGGACCTCCTTTGTTTGTTAGACAATCCTATTGGTGGGACCTCCTTTGTTTGTTAGACAATCCTATTGGTGGGACCTCCTTTGTTTGTTAGACAATCCTATTGGTGGGACCTCCTTTGTTTGTTAGACAATCCTATTGGTGGGACCTCCTTTGTTTGTTAGACAATCCTATTGGTGGGACCTCCTTTGTTTGTTAGACAATCCTGTTGGTGGGACCTCCTTTGTTTGTTAGACAATCCTATTGGTGGGACCTCCTTTGTTTGTTAGACAATCCTATTGGTGGGAACTCCTTTGTTTGTTGGACAATCCTATTGGTGGGACCTCCTTTGTTTGTTAGACAATCCTATTGGTGGGACCTCCTTTGTTTGTTAGACAATCCTATTGGTGGGACCTCCTTTGTTTGTTAGACAATCCTGTTGGTGGGACCTCCTTTGTTTGTTAGACAATCCTGTTGGTGGGACCTCCTTTGTTTGTTGGACAATCCTATTGGTGGGACCTCCTTTGTTTGTTGGACAGTCCTATTGGTGGGACCTCCTTTGTTTGTTTGACAATCCTATTGGTGGGACCTCCTTTGTTTGTTAGACAATCCTATTGGTGGGACCTCCTTTGTTTGTTGGACAATCCTATTGGTGGGACCTCCTTTGTTTGTTGGACAATCCTATAGGTGGGACCTCTTTTGTTTGTTAGACAATCCTATTGGTGGGACCTCCTTTGTTTTTTGGACAATCCTATTGGTGGGACCTCCTTTGTTTGTTGGACAATCCTATTGGTGGGACCTCCTTTGTTTGTTAGACAATCCTATTGGTGGGACCTCCTTTGTTTGTTAGACAATCCTATTGGTGGGACCTCCTTTGTTTGTTAGACAATCCTATTGGTGGGACCTCCTTTGTTTGTTAGACAATCCTATTGGTGGGACCTCCTTTGTTTGTTAGACAATCCTATTGGTGGGACCTCCTTTGTTTGTTAGACAATCCTATTGGTGGGGAGACCCTCTCTTATTTCAATGTTTTCCTTGTTTATAATCCTCAGTTTTGATCCAGTTTCTGTTTACTGTTTTCTCACTGTATTCAACCCTTTCCTCATGGGATCACTCTTGATGTTGAAGGTAAAGTTATCAGTACCACACGTTTCAATGCATCAAGTCACATGACATCTTTCTGGTACATTTGCAAAACTACACTTCATAAACGTACAAAACGTCTTCAAATCATTTATGACAACACTATGAACCGTCATTTTGGGTTGTCACATTCTTAAATTTATAATTATGAACTTTATTTACAAGGCATGAGCTCCTGAAAATAAGCACATCCATCTGTGCCAGGGTGTTCTGAAACAATCATACATACACCAATGATGTCCTGAATCCATCACACATACACATAGGCTGTCCTAAATCCATCTTACATAAACAGTGTGTCCTGAATCCATCATAAATACACATGAGGTGTCCTGAACTGAATCCATCATAAATAAACATGAGGTGTCCTGAACTGAATCCATCATAAATACACATGAGGTGTCCTGAACTGAATCCATCATAAATACACATGAGGTGTCCTGAACTGAATCAATCATAAATACACATGAGGTGTCCTGAACTGAATCCATCATAAATACACATGAGGTGTCCTGAACTGAATCCATCATAAATACACATGAGGTGTCCTGAACTGAATCCATCATAAATACACATGAGGTGTCCTGAACTGAATCCATCATAAATACACATGAGGTGTCCTGAACTGAATCCATCATAAATACACATGAGGTGTCCTGAACTGAATCCATCATAAATACACATGAGGTGTCCTGAACTGAATCCATCATAAATACACATGAGGTGTCCTGAACTGAATCCATCATAAATACACATGGGGTGTCCTGAACTGAATCCATCATAAATACACATGAGGTGTCCTGAACTGAATCCATCATAAATACACATGGGGGTGTCCTGAACTGAATCCATCATAAATACACATGGGGTGTCCTGAACTGAATCCATCATAAATACACATGGGGGTGTCCTGAACTGAATCCATCATAAATACACATGGGGTGTCCTGAACTGAATCCATCATACATACACATAACGTATCCTGCATGCATCCATGCAGAAAAGGTTTCCTGATTCCATCATACATACACATAGACTGTCCTGAATCCTTCATAAATTCTGATAAATATTCAGTTTTCAATCAAGCAATAATACAAGGAAAAAATCCTGCTTCAAATTCTTAAAAATATACTTGCCTTTGCATAATCAGAAGTTGATTTTTAAATCTTATCCGCCAGAATGTCATGCCACTGCTGATTGTCATCTGTACATTCCGAGGTGTCCATGTCCTTACATCAACACCGCTCCGCTCACTGTTTCTCATAGTTTTACTCATGTCAGACTTTATGGGGCTTGTAAGTCATTCAATCTCTTGGTGTCCGTCAATAATTGTGTACAATAGTTTACATTTTGTTTTGCCAATATACAAACTTATTCCCAATAATTAATACTGCACAGAAGAATCAAATGATCAGCAAAATGAAAATTATTCAGGTCCCAGCATCTGTGTAAAAAAAATGTAATTTTTAAAGACTCCTATTTGTCTACCCCTGTAAGGACTCATATTTGTCTATACCTGTAAAGACCCCTATTTTTCTACCCCTTTAAGGGCCACTATTGGTCAACTCTGTAAGGACTCATATTTGTCTACACCTGTAAAGTCCCCTATTTTTCTACTCCTTTAAGGACCACTATTTGTCTACCCCTGTAAGGACCCGTATTTGTCTACCCCTGTTGATAACTCAAACTATCTTCTATTACTTGATTTCAACCAATTGAAGAGACGTTAACGCTTCAATATTTTCTTATTTCTTACTTTGTAACTTTTTTTTTGTGGTCACTCAGATGATTTATTCTCTTTTCTCCCCAGCATTTTTTCTTCATGGTAAAAGACTATGGCAGTTGGCTGGACATTGGCACCACAATCAGTCACTATGTTATTGTCATGCTAATGAACATATTCCTGTTGGTCTTCACCGGCCTGTCACATGGCCTCACTTGCTGGAGGATCCACTGGACAAGCAGGAGAGAAAAGATTTATTAAAAACTTTTTTATTTCACCATGCTAAGCATTCAGCTATTTGACAGGGATAAAGAAAGATGCAGAAAAAAAAAAGAAATTTTATAATTAAAAAACTTAATGAGAAATGTTTAGTTGACCCTAACAGCATTAGATCTAAATAATTTTAACTCATTTGAATGAACTTCTACAGCAGTGGTTCTCAACCTTTTTAATGCCGCGAGCCTTTAATACATTTCCTCATGTTGTGGCGACCCCCAAGCACAAAATTATTTTCGTTAATACTTTACAACTGTGCAGTATATTTGTTTTTAGATGGTCATAGGCGACCCCTGTGAAAGGGCCGTGTGAACCCCAAAGGGGTAGCGACCCACAGGTTGAGAACCGCTGTTCTGCAGTATCACGAAGGGGCAAAAAATAATGTTTAAAAATATTTGTATATGGCAATGAAATAGCCTTTTAATTATAAATCTGGGAAATTTCTTTCTCTTACTGGTTGGGTTTGTCCAAAATTTTCTTAAATTGCTCAACCATCAAATTGTTTTACAATATATATAGACCGGTAATATAAAAGATTGTCTGCAACAAAAAAAAAGTAGGAGTGGATTGATTGATGACCATGTCAAAGAATATTGCTCAAATCTGGTCTACACTTGGCTGGCTAAATCTCTTTCTCTTCTGGCCAGTGTGTGGAGAGGTAACATCTAAATTGATGACATGGATAATTTTAGTGGTGTTGAGGATGAATGAGTTGATTTGATTAATAACTTTATGGATAACATGATTTCAGGATATTGAGTACTTGAGTGATGGAAAAGAATAAAATGGTTTTGATTGACAAAAATTATGGATATTGATAACCTGTTTATGGATGTCAAGGATAAATGAGTTCATTGGATTGATACCTTAATTTCAGGGATTGGATAACATGAGTTGTGGAAATTATTACGTAAAAGGAAAGTTTTATTTGGAATAATTGAAAAAATGTCATGGGTAATTAGAGTTGGTAAGACCTTTATTTGTCATAAACATAGCCTTTTAATAGTGAGTCATATATTGTTTTCTTGTATGTTGTTCTATATGTTCTTGTTCTATGTTAAATTTTTTTTCCTTCGATCTAGGAGGTTGTATATCTTCAAACAATTTTTGAAATTCTTTAAAAACTAATTTTTACTTCTTTTTGAGATATATTATTTACCAGTAATGTCTACAGTCAAATTTTGAAACTAGAATAAGACACTTATGTGATGATGATGGCTTGCAAACATTTTATGCTTAAAATTTTAATTAAATTTGTCTTTCTTTACATTTGCACCCAACGAAATAACATTAAATTATTTTATACTGATGTGATGATGTGGATTTTTAATGTTGCACCGTGTTGGTAAATAATCTGCAGGTGGTGTTTCAACTCAAACTATTAATCTGCTCAAAAGAAATAGAAATAAAGTACCAGTTGTGGCCCCTGAAATTTAAGGGGGGCACCATCATGCAAGAGACGGCGAAGACGTGCAAATTTTGCATAAACTTAAAGACATATCCCCAAACTAACATTAACAGACCGCCTATATCGAACAGATCTGACTGAAAGAAGTACAGACCCATTACATTCATTTCATGGTATTACAGAGCAATTACACACAATGATAGAACAGACCCATTACATACTATGATAGTACAGACCCATTACATTCAATGATATTACAGTGCCATTACACATAATGATAGTAGTTACGAACAGTGTTAGTACAGAGCCATTGCACACAATGATACCGGTACTACAGACCCATTAGATTCAATGATATTACAGAGCAATTACACACAATGTTAGTACAGAACACAATGTTAGTACAGACCTATTCCAGACAAGTGGAAGTGGCCTCGGTCACCCTCTCATGCGAATGACGAACACTGACACTATTGTCTGGATGCTAGGGTCACCCTCTCATGTGAATGACGAACAATGACACTATTGTCTGGATGCTAGGGTCACCCTCTCATGTGAATGACGAACAATGACACTATTGTCTGGATGCTAGGGTCACCCTCTCATGTGAATGACGAACAATGACACAATTGTCTGGATGCTAGGGTCACCCTCTCATGTGAATGACGAACAATGACACAATTGTCTGGATGCTAGGGTCACCCTCTCGTGGGAATGACGAACAATGACACTATTGTCTGGATGCTAAAGCTCATGATCGTCCTTACAGTCACAGCAGTTCATTAAATGTCAGCACAGCCTATCACAGATTGACTCATCCCGACGCTCCATGTTGACAATGACGTCAGAGTTTAATTCTTCATGCTGACGTTCTTTGGCACAAATGGTGCCCACTCCAAAGACACTACATATGACATTGTGTATATATCAGAAATACATACTAAATTCAATAAAAATGAAGTTTGAACGAGACAAATATTTTTAATACCCATCTGTTTCTCTTTTTATAAAAAATTACTTTGTCATCATTTAGAATGTTTCGAGTTAGACTGATGTCCTAAACTGTTTGAACTAGAAGACCATGAAGATCTGCTAGATAAATATCTGGTATGAACTAGAAGACAATGGTGATCTCCTAGATGAATATCTGGTATGAACTAGAAGACAATTGTGATCTGCAATATGAATATCAGATATCAACTAGAAGACAATGGTGACCTGCTAGATGAATATCTAATACGCTCCTCATACACCTGCTGTCACTAACTTTCATAGCTTTAAAATTCACATAAACATTCACACTTCTGCTTTATTTCACTGTCCTCACCATAGCTTTAGTTCACTGTCCGCTCCATAAAATAGCCCCTCACCATCGAGGAGGAACCCAAACAATGCATCTTTTTCATACAAGTTAGTGAACCTTTCAGCCCCAACCCTCGAATGTTACCTTCATGGCCCACCAATTTCCTCTTATTCCGTTATCCCATCATCCAGTGAGTTCCCACCAGCCATTCATTGTGTCACCTCCGACCCTTTTCTACATTAACATTCTATTCTTCACAGAGATCAAGTACTTTTTTTATAGTGAGAAACTGACCGAAACTTCTCGTTTTAAATCAAAATAATCTCAAAGAGCTTTCAGATTCAGGGCAGCAGCATGGAAAATGATGCTAGGTTCATGTAGCCTCTTGAACACGGTCAATTCAAATTAGTATCTCGTCCATAAATATCAGCGATGTCAGAAAAGCAAAACTCAACAGCCAAAAACACAACTGTGATTCCAGAACTGTTTGTGTTCCTGGTCTCATTCGTGTCGTCGATGTGGTCCTGGGGGACTTTCAGTATGTCATCTGTATTGTCTAAAATGTCATGGGGGACTTTCAGTATGTCATCTGTATTGTCTAAAATGTCATGGGGGACTTTCAGTATGTCATCTGTATTGTCTAAAATGTCATGGGGGACTTTCAGTATGTCATCTGTATTGTCTAAAATGTCATGGTGGACCTGCATTATGTGTTCAAGATACTTGTTGACAAGATTTACTGCATCTGTCCTTGCACTTGACCTAGTTTCAGACTCTGACTTTACAACTACGGGGTTGGCATTGTAAAGATTTTCCCAACGTTGTGTTAAACGAAACAAACAATCCCCGAGCTATTGAATGATCCCCACCCCCACCAAAAAAAAAAACACCCCCCCCCCACCAAAAAACAACCGCCCCCATCATGGGTTCCTGCTTAGCTGCATGTACCATACACAGCCAACTTGTTTGTGCCACGTGTTCTTTGTTGGACACCACTTCTGTGTCCGGCCATTACAGCAGCGTTGTCACGGCACTGTGATCGACTGTCTTATAGCCCCGTTTCATCTTTCTCTAGCTGGGTCAGGATGTCTTCGTCCAAGCTCTAGGCAGCCTTATGGGTACTCTGGGTGAAACCAATGAAGGACCTTCTAACACAGACCTCTTTCCTCTCACTCTGCTTCAACGTGCCTCACACAAGGCGACTGTCATCACGTAAATGCCATCAGGTGGATGTCATCAGGTGGATGCCATCAGGTGGATGAATTCATTATGCATACCAGGCGAGAGATACGACGTGGATCCAATCCTTCATGTGTGTCAAGTGGTCTTTCATATTTGTCAAGGGTTCTTTCGTATATGTCAAGTATTTTTCATATATGTCAATTGTTCTTTCATATATGTCAAGTGTTCTTGCATATGCGTCTAGTGTTATTTCATATATGTCAAGTGTTCCTTAATGAGAGGGTCAAAACAGCCAGTACTTCCAATAAGCCAAGACATTGAAGCCATGATCGTTGTGCTGAAATGATTCTCTGTGTCCATGCAAAGCTAGATTTTGAGTAGCAGTGAACTGCATTCAGTGGTGGATATTTGTCAAGATATTACGCCACTTCTGCTTTTTCTTTTCAATTTGTAATTGACGTTCCATGTCAGTAACTGTGTTGTAATTAAATGTCTCTAAATTTCTTTCCATTGGGTGAAGTTCATCCAGTGGTTGTTGGCATTGTCATCAACAGTTAACTGTTCAGGTGCTTTTCTCTGGGTGAATCCATTTTCTTGCTCCAGAGAGGATCGATGGTATGAGAGGATTGGTGATCTGAGAGGATTGACGAGAAGAGAGGATTTGATGATATTAGATGATTTAGAATAAAGAAGAGATCACACGACAAATGGCGACTTTTTAGAAGGGGAATAAGCCAACCGTGACCGAAACCTCACTCAGTTTTCTTTTGAACTATTTTTTGTTTCTTTAAACAGTTGTTTGTTGGTGGTAAAGGCACTCTCCCCCCTCCCCCTCCCTCTTTAAACAGTTGTTTGTTGGTGGTAAAGGCACTCTCCCCCCTCCCCC